GCAGGCAGTGGTCGGAAGAAAAGATATTACAGGATAGTGCATCGTTTAAAACAGGATGAGGTGTTAAGTGAAGGAACACTGAGAATTAGATCCAGAGAATTATTTAGTCCTTGATCGCATTGTTAGTCAATGTATATTTACGCTATTTACAGGTCATATTTGCTAGAGCTTGATGTTTAAACAAGACTATGTCGCTGAAGCATGTAAATGCTATTAAAGCTTGTTAACAAACCATCAAAGCTAATTAGTTAATATAGACGACCAGTTTTTATTATCGATTGAGCTAGTTTGTCATGAGGACTAATCAATATAACATTACGATAATGCATGTGAGCATTGGTCAAAGGACTATTAGAATATTGGGTTTACAAAAAATAAAAACCGATTGAGAAGGTTAAGGTGGAAATAAGGATTAACAATAATAGGTTGCGTTTCTTTAGTTGGGCTCACCAATGTAGAACTATGGTCTACTATGATATTAGTACTGCTCTAATAATAGACCTAATCCTAAATTTGTAGATTCGTCATGATATAACTGCCTAATCTATAAGATCTTACGTGGAAGTCACACCATCGACTACGCTAACTCACTGTATCGTATCAATTACCAATACATGATGAAGAACAAGGTTAGGTTAGAGAAGGAACAATATATTTAATATGAATAGAGACCACGCCTGCATGGCCGAGCCATGCCACTCGATCAACTCCAGTCCATTCAATTCATTGTTCGCGCCTTCTCCATTTTTAGGTATTTCTCCGCGTTAAATATTGAATATCTATTTTCTGAGTAGTCTCGTGTTCACAGCTTTGTGGATTGTGTGGCTATTGTCCAATGCCACTACAATGCTTCCGAGAATATAAGTGATCCCGTAGTCGTGATGTGATGTGTAACATTGCTAATTACACACGGTAATTTTGGTTGCGTTTGGTATATCCCAGAATACTTATTGAGTAGTGGTTGACAGAACGGGTCTATCGTGTGCCTAAGTGTGACGAGAGATTATCTGCAACCAGAAGAAGTTACGCAAACAGATAAATTGGTGTATCCGTGTACTAGCCTTCGTTTGCGCGTATCGATGAGTAGATTATTATGTTGTAAGAGGTCTATATCAATGATTGGCATAGAAGCATCTGCAACAACGAATATCCAGTGAATGGGTTTGCGTAAACGCACGCTAAGGTAAACGTACCTTTTACCGTATGTGACGATAGGATTTCCGTTTGCCACTCGTAAGTTTAAAAATGATTCACCAGTACCGACGAGGTAGCGAACTTTCGTTATCACGTCTGTGACGTATAACAGACGGCTATGTGTCGCCGGTTACGGTTGCCGTTAACGTGTGCCGGCTTGGAAGTTTTCCGATTTGTTTTTTCGTGTCGGTCGGCTTTGAGTTGGGAAAATTTCAGGATTTTCTGCAATTTCTGGAAGACTTTCCATACTGATTATGATACTAGCACCAGTCGGGTTATCCGACTCTCGTGGTCTAGAAACAGATCGCTTACGTGAAGTGCTTCTCCGTGGGATGTGTGACAGTTTACGGTCGTTACGAAATTTAAGATAACGTATCAGCGAATGACATAGTTTCATAATGCCATTCTGTGTCTCTTGAGGTTTTTCTTTGACTGAAAAACCTCGACGTTAGAAGATTTGGTGGTGCAGCCAGCTCATCTAAGGCCTTATTTTGAAACCAGACCAACACAGCTTGCACCTGTTAAGGAAGTTTGGATAAGCAAAGTTGTTTGAATAGGTTATCATCGAAGGTTTTTTGGTCGATAACCTCTCTCATTCTTTGCAACATGTCTGTTGCAGAACCATGTTGCACGTGTATGTTACTAGGGAGTCGGTCTAACCTTTGTCGACCGGTTAGGTCTCCGCGTTTAAGAATAGATCGTTTCAGTGTTTCGTAAGGTTCCGAAACATCACTGGCAAACATACTAGGTGTTACGCACCTGTTGAATTCTTGCGGTAGTGCCTTGACTATTGCAAGGAATTGGGGACGCGTGTCTTTCACGCTGTGCCCGTAGAAGTCGGCTTCTGCGTAGCAGAACCAGGCTTCAATGTTGTCTGGTTAGAAGGGCATCAGTTGAAAAGAAGGTGGGGACATAGTCTTTAATTTAAGAACCTTGAGTGTTTGTTCAGTCATGGTGAAATATCAAGTACGAGAATGAACTCGTGAAAATATAATATATATCCGAAAACACGGAAAAACGGTATCACAATGTATGAAAAATTAAAATAAAGCAACAGTATATGAAACTCTAAAAAGGAACAGACTCACAGTATACGATTTGGCTTATCAGATCACGTAAGGCTCATCAATGAAAATGCCACAAGTATTCGGAGTTTGACAACGCTTTAACCAGTAACACCTTCTAATATGAATCGTACCCACCAAGTGAAATCAAAAGACGGAAGCGAGGAGGTTCGAAGATATATTTGGTATGTTATCAATATATCGAGGATCGTCTAATCTGGCTAGCGATTGCAGGGGTTGTTGAGCACGGCGTTCCCACTCGTGATCTGGTGCGGATGCATGATCGAGCGCCTTCAGCTAGGTGAGTCCATCAAAACTAATGTGGTCAGCATCCAATGTCGAAGACTTACAGAGCTATTTATTTTCGGGATTTATTTACCGCTACAGAGTGATACTGCCAGTCTTCCTTCTATCTTCAACTCAGGAACCTAAAACCGAACTTAAATACTCAAGTTCATAGGTTCTATTATCTTTATTTCCTATCCCAATTGCAACGGTTTTGCAATTTAATTTGTCTTTGCAGTTCTTACATTAAAGAAGGATCACCTAAAATTATTAACCAAGAGTACAGAAATGAGGTCAAATATCTGAACATCACTTAGGAAAGCGCGTCATCCAAGTGGTAAAAATTGGCGGTTTCAGGTCAGTGAATTATTAGCGTAAGGCTAACGCATCAGTAGTCAGCTATCTTGTTTTAAATCCATCAAAATAAGGACAAGTGCTTCAGATTAAAGTTCAACTAATTCATACTAGATCAAATATAAATTACTTGTGTTTTTGTAATTGCTAATGTCAAGTGTAGATGATTGAAACTCATGCTTTTGTTCGTTATGAGAATTTTGTTTTGATATTCTGCTATCCACAGACCTGATGTCTGTCAAAGAATTCCATACAGTGACGAGTCTTAAAATTTCGTAGCTTAGTTTCGAGCTGTATGTGAACTTCAACCTCTGGCAATAAGTATAATAGTTTATTTGACTTGAGCCCATCCTTAGTCTCCTGTGTTAATTCCTCTCATTTTCTGGTCGTTCTTATTACTTTATTTCCGTCAATTGAGCGTCCGTGATCGTGGATACTAGATAAGGTCGTACTGTCAAATAAAATACGGTTGTGTAATCCAGGAAACACCTAGCTTTCTGACATTAACTCCCCAACGAATTTTTTTAGTCTAGCCAAAGCTCACAACCTTACAGTGTTACTCAAATGGTGGCAGTGGTTTTTCTTAAAATGTTACAGGGAAACAAAAATGAAGTATGACCATGAAGACTATCGCCCATACCCTTATTCATCGAATATATCGGGGAATGAAATATACATTCATTTGTGAAGGGAAAGACTTTACAATTGTCGTTTCTTAAAGCTTGACTTCACTAGCAGATTTTATGAATGAGTCGGGCTTATTTCAGGCTAGGTAATTATTCTCTTTCTTCAAGTCTGAAACGAAACCATATTATTCTTACCTGATTTTACTCGTTCGCTTTAAATCATGATTCTCATGCACAGTACTTCACTACCGTCTGCACCATTACTTCCTATTAATTTATTTTACCTTACTAATATAGACTTCCGATTTTGATAGGATTAGTGATGACTTGGGTCGCTTTGTGCATATACTATGTTTTGCCTTTACGTTTATGTGTCCTGTAGAGTAACCAGTGTAAGAAATAGCTTTTACAACTAATGAGATTAGATTTTCAAACTAAACTCCACTGCATATGCTGTTCCATTTAAGAGTCCTGTCAAGTCCAACCATATCTTTTATTGTGGTATTAGTTTGATTTTTTCATATTTCAATTGTCATTTAGCGTATAACAAGAAATCTAACGAAGATGTAAACGCTCACAGCACGCCGATTCGCTTATTTGAACCTGTGTCTCCAATCGTCGAATAAGTTGAATCATGAACGAAGTGTTTGTGAAGTCACGGCCCTTTGAGTTGATAGTTGGTTCTGTACTTTTTCACTCAAACAACCGCCTCTTAAATGGTTAGATCATGGAGGGTACCGACTGTCGTAATAGGGTTAGCCAGATTAGGTTCCCATTCGAAAAAACCAAAATTGGTTTTTGCTCCATGGCCAAGTGTTAGATGATTACATTCATGCAGCTGTCTGAATATTAAGTTTTAAAATTTGGTTTACATGAGCAGAATTACTTGAGATTGTCAGTAATTTTTGTGGTTACTAACAAATGACTGGTGATTCCAGGGGATTGTGTATAGCAACATATACGCTTCCGTAAATGAAAGTCGGTATATTATTTAACGACATCATAAAACTCAGTCACCGTAATTAACTTCAAAAGTAAAGACCTGCATACTTCAGCCACTGCTTTCTTAATTTCTTTGTGTTAGGTTAAACTGTGGACGATCACGCATGTAAATCACTTATTGTATGTTAACTATTTTGAGTTAATTTATTTGTATAAATTGAAAGTAGTATTTATGACTAAACATGATTGTTTACGGTTAAATCAAGCTTTAATGCTAAGATCGTGGGGACAAGGACAGTAATTCACTTTTTTATTCAGGCACTATATAAATCTCTATTTCAATTATAGCTGCGGCGCATTTTTAATCTTACTTTGCCAATGGCTATTTGCTTTTTATTAGATTATTAGATTCAGCTGTCGGTAATTTATCAGCTACATTACTCAGTAGTGTTCACGAGGTAAAGGAAGTCCTCGCTCATTACTGACGTACTGTGCAGTTTTCGCCATATGTTCAGGAAAAAGATCTTTTCAAAGCATGTCTCGCACATCTGCCCGACAGCAGCGTATGCGTGAGCAGACACTGAATGAAGAATGCATTGTACATGAAGAATTGGGACCCAGAACATCAAGTGAATGTCGATCAAAAGGATCCAAACTAATCATAAGTAGTCCAACAACAACATCGCATCCATGTCTTAATCTTCTTCTTTCCGGTTCTCAAGCTTCGACGCAGCAAATTGATGATAATGTTAAGTTAACTAGTCAGTACAACCGAGGATTTGGAGCTGGTGCTCTCTTGGCTTCTTTAAATGCAGCTAATCAGCTGCATCAGACGGAAGCTTATCCAGTAAGCCACTAATGAGATGTCATTTCACTGTGGTATTATTCCCTATTTTCCATTTTGATTAAATCATTTTGGTTTTCATTCTTTCTTAAAAGTCTGAACTGGCATAACGTTTCGATTTCGTGTCTTTTTATTTAACTCACGTAGTAAGAAAAGCTCTAATCAAGATAAAGTTGATGCTCATGTAACTGAAGATTCTATAAACTGGCGTAGGAGTCCTCGTATACCTTGTCAACTTGATCTTAAATGACATGTTTTAAGGCTCTTATCGTTTATCAATACATCAGAACAAAAAGCGAGGACAGATATTTCACGTACATAAAGTTTATTACGATAGTACCATAAAAACTATTTTGTGGAGATTAAGAATGAAAAAGAAAGTAAGACGGGACAGTCTGAATTCTAACTACCCACAATTCTTTCTAATAATTTACCAACCTTATATTAATTATCTGATCAAAATACTTAGCAAATATTCTTTACATTTATCGCTGGTTGATTTCATATTTATTGGTTGAAAGCAAAGATAACATTGGGATATTATAATTTGAACCAATTGAGTTTAAATAAACCAGGATTGTTTGCATTCGTTATTGTTTATTTACTGATTAGCTAAATAATATAATCTCTGTATCAACATTGACAAAGAAGACAAAAATAAAACAGTATGAATTCTTTGGCAAATTATTCCCATTACTTGATAAGCTAGATGGTAAGGAGAAGAGAGAAAGTTTTTCTCTGCAAAGTTGTGAAATCGTTTTAAGAAAAGTCAACATGCTAAAATCAACTTACTGAATAGTTATTTTAGACAACTCTAATATTATCAGCTGATTAACAGGCGGTAAATGTTATATATGTAATATAGAGGATCCACCTAGGGGAGTTGGAAAACTCCCATTTCAAACCAATAGGGCACATGGACTCCTGAGGGAAAAAATGGGGTATGAACCTATTGTTGGTGACCGGCCATCATGGGACTGTATCTTCTAATGTTGCTCCAATACCATGTGGATTAGACCTTTAGGTCAAAAGCTCTGTGTGTGGCCCCCTAAGAAAACCATCTGCACCGGTTTGGGTGCCCAAACAGTATCTCAGCCGTCACACAAACCGGCTTCATTGTTGTTGTGTTGCGCATATATATTTGGTTCCCCCTTGTACCAATGTTTATGTGTTGAAATAAATGATAACTACTACTGGATTCTGTTCATTAAAAATAATGTTAGTCGAGTCTCTCTAGACATATATTCATTCTTTATTTATCATTATTGTTTGTATTGTTAAGTGTGATAATGATGATTTGTGATTATGAATTATTATCCAGCTGGCTCAACAAAGTTTTATTTTAAATGATGGATTAGTCGAGTTGCAGTTGTGGTTTAATAAAGCTGTGAACATATTCATTACAATGATTCTTAGTTATTGCCTGTCTTGTTGTATCACCCATATAATTTTCGCAGTATAGACACAGTGATTTTTTTTAGTAGATTAAATAAACTGCTTTGTTTTTGTTATTAAAATGACGAATGGAACTAAGTTGTATAAAGATTGAAAATTTTGGAGCATTAGGTAATTGTTTCTTCGTAGCATGAGACTTTTTCGTGATGGTGGGTTGAATGATACACAGTGACGAAGAGTCCTGTGCCAGGAAAAAACAGTCGTTCAGTGCTTCTCACACAAATCTAGTAACAAAGTGTGGTGCACATATATTTGGTGCCTCCTTATACCAAAGTTTATATGTTTAAGTAAATAAATAAGTAAAAATGATATGGTAATTTTTTTCTCTTTCTCTAGTTTTTAAAAGTTTGTACGAGTTACGTAAATTTGTTGACAGAATCATGTGTGACCCACAGCAGGAATTTGCTGAAGTACCGTTTTCGTCATCAACTTAGTTGTTATAATAATCTTAGGTTAATAGTAGTATGGATCAAAGTTCTTCTGTGGAGTACATGTTTCCGATTTTCTGGCTGGTTTCTTTGTGTGACATATCTAACAGAAACCACATTTCATTATAAGTGTGGATAGTCGTATGTACATTTACGTTCTAGCAATGCTATTAATCTCATATACATTAGACTCGGTTTATTGTCTACTTGAGTGTTAAAGATTAGCGTAATTAAGCACGAGTTTATTTTATATTCTATGAATGTAAATATCCGATTATCTAAACGATGGTAAGTGAAATGTTTTTTAAATCAATATCTTAGTAAATCAACTGTTTAAGCTGTCGAGTTGTATCTCTTCTTGGATTAATAAGACTATATTGAGTAGTAACTCTCATGAATATTATGGACTGGAATCAAATGATATGTTATTATAGTCACATACTGTCGTAAGAACGAATTTACATGTTATTTGTTCTTTTCATCTCTTGCTTACAAACAGACTACAGTTTTTAATAACTTTTAGATCAAAAAAGCGATCTGGATTCCTGGAGTGCATTAAATAATGCATGATTAATTTTTAAGAATTTAAACTACACACAGTCAATCAATTTACTTAAATTACTGAATCAAGTTAAAGTTACTAAAGCTTTAATTACTAATTTAGCCAATCCAATTAGGTTTTAAGCCATTTCTTTTGAGTTACATGGTTATATCTTTTCTTCGAAACTTTAATCTAGGCGTGGTATCTCAAGGTCCGAGGGTGAAGACGTACTGCTGACTGTACAGAAGTGTGACGGCAGTAAGGTGTTTCCTTTAGACAACCGACATAACAGCGATGCTGCCTTCCCACAAAGGAAGGGTGGGATATAAAAGGCTGACCCTAAAGATACACACCTCGTCTTATCCCACGGATATATGTGTATCCAGCGGTAAGGTCTCAACAAGTACGGAGCTAACACAAAGAGGTCGTGACTGGCCTCAAGCAGTTGTGTCCTGGGTTCTGCGGTCACACTCTCACGTCATTAAGACCAACTCTAACCCTATTTCTTTTTCAGGTACCTGTAGAAGAACCTTTCTACGGTGTGGCAACCGGGAAGTGATAACCGCCCTCATACCCCTAACAGCACTCAAGACCACTGTATTCATAATAAATTTCCCCATTATTCCTCCTGTCTGGATCACCAACTTTATACTTCCTCAAGTGTTGCCATTGCCGACGATTCTAGTGCACGAAATACTGTCCCAGTTCTACTGAAACCTCTCTCCAAACTACACATTGAGGCCTTCGACTTCCTTCCCCTTTGTAAAGTCGGCCAGCACTTCTATTTGGCTAACACCCTAGAATTTCGTACCGTTGATAATTGCTGTCTCCGAAGCACGCATACAGGATCGTAGTGCGGCCATTCACTTGTCCTCGCCTAGCCATGACGGGGAGCTGACGAGATATACGTTCGTTTATCTGGCGACCCGACGGCAAATTCTCGTGGACTGGCAAGTGTGGGCATAGCACTAAGTATGAAGGCAGAACAAGCACTTTTAGAATAGATTCCTGTTAACAGTTGTCTATGTGCTGTCCGACCAAACGGCTCCATAAGAACTCGGAAGGATAGGAACACACGTAGTCGCTTTTTCATCGCTTCTACCTACGCTCCCACTGACTGCAGCTCAGATGCAATGAATGACGGATTTTACAGAGTGCTTCCTAAACTTTCTCAAAAAGCTAAACGCTCAGACATGGTACTTGTATCAGGTAACTCTAATACCCAAGTGGGCAGCTTAAACCAAATAGAAAGACGTTTAGGTGGGTATTTTGGTATTCTGTCTCAGCGAACAGATAATGGTGATCGTCTGTTGCAACCGCGCCCAGACAATCGTTTATTGTTAACAAGCACTAATTTTAAACATAAAGAGGAACATCGTCCAACATGGCGACCCCTTGCACCAAACCAATGATGGACTCTATTGCCATCAGTCATCGTTGGAGAGGCTCAGTAGAAGACTGCGGCTCGTTCCGGAATAAATGTTTAGACTTTGATCATGCTCTAATACGAGCACATATTCGCTTTCACCTCACTGGACACAGAAAAGCCACACTAAAAAGACCCATTAGAGTTGAATTGAATAACGAGAAAACCATAAGTAGGTTCCAGGAACAACTGAGGTCACACTTAGGTAGTTCTGAAAATGAGGCTGACCTGGATGTTGCTTGGAAAGATATACGAACAACTGTGGAAATAGCAGTGATATCTGTTAGTGATTTAAGCCAAAGGGTTACGAAAAACCAATGAATTTCTTCTAAGTCTATTGCACTAATGGATTCTCGTAAACTCATCCCATCAGGCTCTGAATAAGATGAAGAGCGAAAACGAATCAGATCTAGGTTAAGCAATATCTAAGGAACGACCGTGAGCAGTGGTGGGCAACGAAATCAAAAGAGATGGAAAAGTCGGCGGCTGTAGGTAACACAAGACAGCTCAACAGACTAATAAAAGAAACGAATTAATAAGTCCCCTCACTCTAGCTGAATTGCAAAAGGCTATAGTTAATCTGAAACGAGGAAGAGCAGCTGGTCCAGGTGGATTAACTTCAGATGTTTTTAGGGATGGTGGTATAGTTTTACAAATTAGGTTGACTAATGTTTTAGCTAAAATCTGAGAACTGAATGTAGCCCCATGTGACTGGTCGCAATCACTGATTGTCCCAATATTATAGGAAGGGGTCAAAATCATCATGTGACAATCATAGAGGGATTAGTTTAACTAATATACCATCTAAAATACTAGCCTCAATAATTATCAGACGCCTAACAATGACTCGTGAACTGGCTTCAGACCCGGTCATGGCTGCACCGACCACATATTCACCATTCGTCAAGTTCTAGAACATAGGCATGTTTATCGGTGTCCAACAATAGTGGTCTTTCTTGACCTAAAAACAGCATTTGACTGTGTAGACCGAGAGGTTCTGTGGCAGTGTCTGTTGTTAAAAGGCGTACCTTGGAAGTTCATAAACCTTGTGAAGGCCGTTTACTCGAACACCACCAGTTGAGTCAGATCTTATGGCGAACTGTCATCTGCTTTTGCAACCTCATGTGGTGTCCGTCACAACTGTCCACTTTCTCCATTTTTGTTCAACTTCATCATAGACCTACTGATGGAAATAACGCTCTCGTCTACTGAATTCTGTGGTATTGATCTCCTTCCAGGAGGTCCACTTATCGACTTAGAATACGCAGATGACATAGTCCTGTTTGGTGAAGACGCTGATACAATGCAAAGTCTTTTGGTAGCACTAAGCAACAATGCCAGAATGTTTGGGATGTGCTTCTCTCCCTCGAGATGCAAGTTGTTGCTTCAAGACTGGCCTGCGTCAACACCTGAACTAAGGATAGGGAGTGAAGTAGTCGAACGAGTTGACAACTTCACTTATCTTGGAAGTCTGATCAGCCCTAATGGGTTGGTATCGGACGAAATCTCAGCACGGATTCGAAAAGCTCGATTGGCTTTTGCCAACTTGCGTCACGTATGGCGAAGGCGAGATATCCGTCTATCAATAAAAGGACGAGTATACTGCGCGGCAGTCAGTTCTGTTTTAATTTACGGCAGCGAAACATGGCCATTAAGAGTAGAAGATACTCGTAAGCTGCTAGTATTTGACCACAGATGCCTTAGAAATATTGCTCACATCTGCTGGGATCACTGGGTAAGTAATAGTAAGGTTCGACGCAGGGTATTAGGGAATGATGGTAAATCGGTTGATGAGGTTGTGAATCTTCATGGACTGAGATTGTTGGGCCACGTGTTACGTATGCCCGAACACCGATTACCACGACGTGCAATGCTAACCGGTGTTCGGGATGGTTGGAAGAAAGTTAGGGGTGGCCAAACCAAAACGTGGCATCAGTGTTTGAAGTCACTAACTTGTAGTCTGAGCCATGTTGGTAGATGCAGACTACTTGGTTGGGGTCCGCATGACTATCGTATCCAATGGTTGGAGTCTGTGGGTGACAGCTCAGAATCGATCACAATGGTGTAGGTGTATACACTCTTTGTATTCTTTTAAACAGTGAAATTGAAATTGCTTTATAAGGTTCTTTCTACGAACTAATTCTTTCTCCCTGTACTATTGAATTAACTGCTTCTATGAATTCGGTGTTCATCTTGTGATGATGAGGTATGGCAACTTGGACCGATGCATGTATGTGCCTGGTTCCTACGTTGTAGCTAATTGACTGATATCCCTAACAAATATTATGCGTTATATTCAACACACCATTGACTAATATAGTCAAACTTACATACTCCAAATATTTGATAGTTTTTGTTTCTGTACGTTATTTTATTGCGACAAACACATAGGTTTAAATGTTCCGACGGTTACTGATAATTTAAGTTATTGATTACAAGTGACTTTTGATCTGAAACAGTAAATGAAAAACTCTGTATCTTAATTTATTTCTTGTTGTTTATAATATCATACTGTCTAGAAACCAAACCTTCATCATGTATTTTTACCATCAGAAACATATTAATTAAAATTACCTGACATGACTATACTTCCGATGAATTAAATAAATTACTGATTCGATCGCGACCAGTTTGAGTAGTGTATTTCGGTTATTTCTGAAAAGTGTGATATGACAAGTGATTAACTGGTTAATGATTCAATTTTGTAGTTCATGAGTTTTAAATCTTAAGTATTGCAAAAGCACGAAAACCTTAGTAATTTATAAATCTGGTATATTTAAACAGGTGTACCCGAACATGTTTCTGGATTAATGCTTAACATTTCTTTTCAGACTAAACTTTTTCAACCAATTGGAGATTCACAACAAATGATATCGCAACTACCTGAAAGAAACTACCAGCAGATGAACTTGAATTTCAGTAATTGTGGTTCATCACTTATAGCTGCAAACTCTGATTCTACTCAAAACTTTAAAGATAGCAGTCGAAGTTCGTACGTTATGTCTACGTCTAACAGAGGACCTAATCAATCATTACCTATGCATTTCACACCTCGTAATTTACCACACGGTCAAGCAAAGCAAATACAGTCCAAACGCGGCAGTTTTGACGATGGGACATCTCCAAATACACAAGTTAAATCTAATTCAGAACTAAGTATACTTGAAATGGAATCTATTGAGTCACCAACCCCTTCTGATATGAATTCTGTACGTTATATATTTGTGACTATCTTGCCACATTGATTTAATGATACACTAAATTATGTTACTTTACGTAGTTATTGTCTGTTCTCCTTGGTAATTTTATTTTATGCTTAGTGGTAGTAAAGAAAATACCTAACGCAACAATCCAACATACATACTATCTCAAATTATTTTCTAAATTAGTATCGTGAAATACCATATACATACAATTATTTGCTTAAGATTGTTATGCATGTATATCATACGAAACTTGGTCTCAGATTTATTCTTAGGATAGATCATAACACGATACATGTTAGAGGAATGCATTATTCTGTTTTCTTATAAAGTTATAAGTCGATGCTGAGCTCCACAAGTAATGATTACTTTTTTTCCAATCTGTCTCTAACATCTCACTTTAAAGATCTATATCATTCTTATTGGACTGGTTTGTAGTTAGACAAACGAATGTTGTTTTGTTTTCATAAGTTTCCTTTTAAGCCGTTAATGTTTGTTGTATAGATTATAGCAGCTCTCCTACAATCTATTTCGATTATGGTTAATTTTTGTTAAGCCCTTTAATTAACATAACAGACAATGTTATTCGAGCAGTAGCAACCCGTCTATTTCTTTATTCTATTATGATCACTATCTCCCCGGCTCAATCGTGTACTCTTCATCACGTGACAACCTACTTACATCTCTCTCTCTCTCTCGCCTAAATGTTGGTAGCTTAAATATCACCCGATGAATCATTCTCTTCCCCAATATATGTATGTACTCGAATCGTATTAGTAGCCTTTACCTTGGTGTGCCCTTATCCGATTTGACTATAAATTCGCCTCTGTATTTGCTTGTGCACACATATTCGCCTCTCTGCTTCAAAGTCGTTCGGTGTGCTTGTAACTTTGTTATCTGTAGTATCTGCTAATAGGCTATAGTCGCCGCTTCTTGTTACCTTCTGACACCAAACACTGTTGAGATTTATGTGGTAACGGTTATCAAGGTGATTGATAAACGAAGCTAAGCCACTACAGAAATATTGACCCCGACATGTGTACACGACGCGATTTTCGACGGTAAAGTTTAATTCCGAAAAATTCAACGCACTTTGTCGCAATTCGGATCATTATCTGGATTATAATTATATTTGTGGATCCCTTATATCATTATTTTAATTACACGTACGTAAATTCATAAACATTATTAGACATAACGATAATACTCATGATAAATACTGACATTTCACAAACATTTTATATACTGGTGAATTTTAGTAAGTCTGTTCTATGTTATAAATTGTGCCATTTGTTATTATCATTGTTGTTATTGGTTCACTTTTCTTTTTGACGTTTATATTACTCTATTCGTGTACTATTTATTTTTTAAAAACATATCTTCCGAAAATACTGTCACGTTTACCGCAAACGTCGTCCGTGAAGGCCCTTAATCTTTATTTTTCCTCCTTTTAAAGTCAATGGCCCACAACTGTGGTTCATTAAACTTAAAAATTATTTTCTGACTAACCGCATTAACCTACAAATAGATGAATTCGGCCTTGCAACCACCCTCCTCCAAGACTAAGTGGCCGATAGCGTACAATAGGCGTTGGCTAGACCGGACCGGATGTCGGCCGTGAATATAGCGCGGGGTGCTTCTTATCTCTGGGACGTCGTCATGGCAGATGTGTCAGTGCCCATAGTAAGCATTGATTTCCTGTGGAATTTTGATGTGCTAGTCGACTCAAGACGGCACCGACTGACAAAAACCAACCAGACCACTACGATAAGATGGATTCCTACTCCACGAATTTGATGAAAGCTAAAAGCCGTGGTGACCCATATAAATCTTTGTAAACGGTTTGTAGAAATCACGGAAGTAACGTACAACAATGGTGACCTAAAACACTGTGCGGCACCACATCGTAACGACTGAACCACCAACTAACACAAGGCCACAACGGTTAGACCCAAAAAAACCAAAGATAACAAAGCAGGAGTTTGACAAATTGATGAAGCTAAGTGCCGTAAGTTCATCGTGCAACCCGTGGCCTTCTCCATTGCACACGGCCATAAAAAAACGGAGAGATCAGGCCATGCTGAGATTATCGGACACTTAATAAACAAATAGTAGCTGACAGGTATCCCTTACCACACATCCACAATCTTACCGACGGTATGGAGAGCACCACTATCTCGAAAATTGACCTAGTTAGAACGTATTACCATATTCCAGTAGCGCCAGAAAACATGCCGAAAACGATGGTAGCAACCCCCTTCGGGTCATTCGAATTTCTGCGTATGTCTTTCGAAATGACCAACGCAGCGCAAACCTCCAATAGATTTATTGACCACGTTATCAGAGGCTTACCAGAAGTATATGCATATATTGACGACTTACTAATAGCCAGCTCGACGATGGACGAGCACTTACAGCATCCAAGACATTTATTCAAGAGACTACGCGAACATAGTATCTCTATTAACGTTGAAAAAAATGTGGATTTGGGAAGAGATTCTTTCAGTTTCTTGGTCACATGATAACTCCCCAAGGCACCACATCAGTCCCCACGGAAGTCCATGCTGTCCGAGACTATACGCTTCCCGACTCACGGAAAAAGCTACGACGATTCCTTGGACTATCATTATAGACGATTCATCCCAAATTGTGTGGCAATGCTACAACCGTCGACGGACACTATGTGGAAATGCACAAACGTTCCATTTGTCAGCAGACGCAATACAGGCATTTAAGAACGCTAAGACAGCATTAGGCAGGAAAACGATGCTAGTCAGAAGGAAGAGTGACGCACCATTGGGCATTATGGTGGACTCATCGAATGTAGCGGTGGGAGCAGTTTTTGCAACAGTTAGTAAGGGGCACATAGGAGCCACTTTCGTTCTTCCCAAAAAGACTGAACCCAACGCAAACGAGGTATAGCATCTTCGGAAGAGAATTATTTTCAGTTTTCTTGGCTGTAAAGCATTTTAGTCACACGATGGAAGGTACGAAATTTGTAGTGTACGCGGACCATAAACCACTTACGAAAGCAATGAGCTCCAAGCAGGATAATAATTCGCCGAGAGAAATCCGACAATTAGTTTACGTCTAATATTCTATACATTAAAGGTAACGATAACGAAGTATCAGACGCGCTATCAAGAACGATGATAAACGCATTTAGTCCAATCAGAATTGATTATAATGGTCTGGCGAATTTGCAAAAAACAGATGGCGAATTAAACAAGCTGCGATTCGATGCCACAACATCACTAGTATTCGAAGATGTGCAGGTCGGTGGCGTTAAAAAACAAGCGACTTGTCGACAGACCGATCGCGACCGTTCATTCCGAAACCAGTTTGACAAAATATATTTGATAGTATCCTTAATATATCCCATCCAGGAATAAAAGCCACGATGAAACTAACCGGTGAATGTTTTGTATGGACGAACAGGAATCGGGTCGTGCGTAACTGAACACAATCTTGCATGAAGTGTCAGGAAGTCAAGACACACCGTCATACTAGTTCTGCATTGCGTCTTTTTTCTCACCCAGATAATAGGTTCGAACACGTGCACATCGACATCGTGAGATCACTGCCGATTTCAATTGTTTACAGCTATATTTTCACATGCATTGATAGATATACACGATGGCCAGTGGTAGACAAAGCCCTAGTCGAAAATTGTGTTCCTTACTACGGCGTGCCAGCAATCATCACATCTGATAGGGGAGCACAGTTCGGAAGTCGCATGTTCCAACGACTTACAGAACTCTTAGGAATTAAACATATTCACACTACATCCTATCATCCGATGTTTAATGGTATGATTGGATGCCTACACAGGTAGTTAAAGGCATCTCTAACAACCGTCATTGTTAACAACGATTGGGAAAGTAAGCTATCCTTTGTCATGTTAGGTCTAAGAACAACAACTAAACACGATACTTGATGCTGTCCAGCTGGGTTGGCGTATGGAACTACTTTACTTTTACCCGGAGAGATTCTCACGTCAGGTAAGAATATTTTGACGGATGTAACCACAGAAGTATGATTGGTTTAAAAATAACGTTCTCCAGATCAGAACAACGCCGAGTATATTTATTTATATGAACACAAATATTGGTACAGAGGGGCACTATACAATAACAATGAGAATGACAAGAGATAGAGAATGTTTAGTGCGTATAAGAAAAAAGAGAATAATAACGAACAGAAATTAGTGTGATAGTGAAGTAATAATGATGGGGAGAGATAGTTCAGTTATAAAAGGTACAACCACGAAGAATTCTTTCAGTTAAGGAAGTTACAACAAAGAAGGTTACAGCAGGATCGCCACTGGCTTCTATTCTGAGCCATATTTGATAACGTCTCTAGCCACTGTGTTGCACCATCTCTCGGACCCCAGCCAGGGAGTCGTGAAGGACAGACACAAGCCAGTCCTTTGCAGCTTTCTTTCATACCACGACTCCATGTCATACACTAACTACCTCTCCGCCTTTTCCAACCAGCCCCACAGTCAACAAATAACGCACGACGAGGAATTCTCTGGGACGACATTCGTAGAACGTGTCCAAGCCACCGAGGTCGATGTTTCAAGAGAATGACACCAATTGGATTATTGTCTCTGTGCCCGAACACACGATGCCGAACCTCTGCATTACTAAGATGGTGTTGCTACTGGATCTTAACAATCCTTCGGAGACAACGATGATCAAACACAGAGAGTCGTCTAACATCCTCAACTCGTATAGGCCAGGTTTCACAAGTATAGAGCAGAACTGCTCTCGCCGACGCGTTGTAGATACGACCTCTTATAGCCAGACTAACATCTCAACTATATCTACCTGCTCACCATCCATAGTGAGTACAGAATTAGAATCCTGCCAGTCTTTTAGAAGTACTTTGCACTTCGAAGGTGCAAAGCACATACCATATCTACGGACACTGATTGCCAACTGATTGAGCGCGGATTGTGTGGCTTGGGTATCATCGCACAGTGAGACAATATCATCTGCATACTCAAGGTCGAGAAGTCTTTCTCCAGGCAACAGATCCACACCACTATTACTTACATCCATCAGAGCTGTTTCTAGAATGTCATCGATGGCAAAGTTGAAGAGGAATGGTTAGATTGGGCAACCCTGTCTAACCCCACTGCTTCAATGGAACAGTGGAGAGAGGTGGTTGTATGTCCTCACTCTACTTGAGGTGTTTGGAGGCTAAGCCATTACATGATCATATTTATAATAGTAGGTAAACTATTTAGCAACCATTGCAGTGGACGCTACTCACGGAGATGTTTCTTAGTGTTTAGCGGGACGTGGCGTCGGAGTTGTGCAACAATTGTTGGATAGGGTGAAAAAGTTTTAGTGCATCGAAAGCACAGTATTGGCAGAACACCTAGAGGCTAGTCGAGAAGACAGCTGAGATTGCATAACACACCGAAACATGTAGATGGACTATTGAAGGCCATGTATATGTATTATTTAAATACTCTGTAACTTCTCTTAATAAATATGCATTCTTCCTGCATGTTGTCGTGTTTTACACGATTTTATCATGTTTCAAGTTGTGTTAATAGTATGCGTCCATAACCGTATCCAGGATGAAACGCCAAAACCTTCGGATATCTGCAAGTTACTTTAGCCACTTCATTGAAATTTGTTAATCAATTTTCCTGAATCCTATATACCTCTTTAAATAGCATATTGGCTATATGTTATCTCCAATTAACATTTAAACTTCTTAAATCCATTCTATGGTGAATTATTAATGGGGATTTATATGCAAGTTATTTTCGTAATTCACCGAAAAGTTGTTAAATAAGGCTTTCTTTAGTTAGTAAATTTATTTTTTCTCTAATTCACAGTAAGAGTGATTGCTTGGTTCATCTGAAAATAAATATTTCAAAGGGGTCAGCCCACATTTCTCTGTTAAATTAGTCAGTGTGTTTTAAATTTGCATACAAATAAATATGTTATAATCCACTTCAAATTGATTACTTGCTTCAGGGTAAATTTCCTAAGATTGAGAATATAGAATTTTAGATTTCGATAAACTGAATATATTTTAAAATAATGTTAGATTGATTACTTTTGAGTCCCAGCGTGCGTAATACGTACTAGTTTCAAGTTGCTGACATATACTTTCAACCTGACGAATATCATATTTAAATTAATCTATTCCTTATAAAAAACCAATTCACATTGTTTGGTGAATATTCTGCTCAAGTGAACAATGTTAAGGGTTAGACATACGTACTAGCTAAGTATAAATGTTAAAATAAATTTAAGTCAAGAAATCCCTAATTAGAATGTTTTCTCTCGTAGTTGTTTGCTACTTTAAGCTAGTTATGCGCCAAAATCTATAGTAACTGAATGAAATTCGTTGAATCTTTTTTTGTATTTGAAAACAGAATATTTTCTGTTGATTAGTTGATAACCAACCAGTAGGATGACCCTGTATACAGTGTTCTCATATCATATCACAACAAAAGTGTAATTGAACCCTCTGCAGGAAGAAAGCCTTGGGTTTTTAATGTAGTAATCCACATTCATTACTGTGAATATAAGTACAATTACTGTGTTGTTTAAAGTACAACGTCGACTGGATCCTATCTATCCTGTTGGTTATTTTTAAAAGTGTACTTTTGCGTGCCATTGTTTTGCGAGTATAAAAACATTTCCTAAAGATACGTTGTAATTCCTTCTGTATACAAAGCCAAAATCATCCATCTTTTATGTATGTAGAAAATGCTGACATTTTTCATCTCTTTGTTATTTTAGCCAGTTGAATCTTGTTTTGCAAATATAATGGAAGATCAAGGAAGTGATAGCTTTGATTTGAATAATATTACACCGTCCATCAATCTTTCATCATCTGTAAGTTCGATTGACACATATTTGTTGTTGTCCGTGTGAGTTTTGTAACATTTATCATAATGACTGATATTTCTTAGTACTGCTTTTCTCTCTAATGACAGTATTCTTCTTCGTCTTATCTCTAGTATTATTTCGGAATTTATAATTAATAATTTACCTCATCATTAAACACATGTAAATTTTTCCGTGTAGGATGTTTTAGTCAACAACAAGCCTATTCAATTTAGTAATAATTAGAGATTTTTATGAGATTATTTATGAAATACAGGTGAAGTGTATTTGGCTCCTGTTCTTTGAATTGCGTTAACACTAAGCTCCCATGATCTATTCATAATTAATTAACCCTAGTTTCCCAATGATTATGACAGTTTTTATGGATCGGTTGCGTTCGCCTTTTAATTTTTTAATCAATCCATTGTGTCGTAAATTACCCCTGAGGGGTTATTAATTATTCCAAACGTTGATCCGAATAGTGTGATTTATTTGCGCTATACATTTTGAACAATCTGGTCACACATATACTTGTCAGGATATTTTATATGAAAATTAATAAAGGTCCAATTACGAATGTACCGTTAACTAAGATTGTGGATTTGCTTTTTGATCATATCTACTAATTTTCCCCTTTTTTCCCATTGGGTCATGATTGTTGAAAGAATTACTTTTATTATGTACTTCAAATGTTCAGTTCACGTTCGAAGGCTAATATTTTTGACAAGTTGATGGTGTTGCTATGAGGCCTCTTTTAGCTGTTGTATTTATATCATATGTTGAAATTATGGTGAGTAGGCTCTTTAGCGAGGCAACTTAGTATAGAGTATGGATGATATACTAGTTATATGTGATAAAGATTTTGAGGATTCCCAGTTATTAGATGAACCCAATGGAGTTCAAAACGATATCGTAATGACCTGTGAAGCTAAAAACAATGACCAGTCGCCCTTTTTAGACATCTTTTTGAGTCGAAGAGAGGATGGTACTATGAGACAGTCAGTGTATAGGAAACCGACATGGACGGGGCAATATTTAAATTTCCATAGTTTCTGTTCATTGCAATACAACCGAGGTTTGATTGAGTGTCTCTTTAATAGGATTCAATGAATTTGCACTACTGATACGGTCGAAGAAGGTGAGAAGTTGCTGACTGATACATTAAATAGCAAATGGTTATCCACTAATGTTTATTAATAGGTGCAAAAGTCAGTTAACGTCAAGACCTCTCGTTTATTCGGTTCGAAAGGAAAATGTTTGTATCTGTCTACCATATAGAGGTGAATTCAATAGTATAGTTTTAGGACAGTTATTGAAAGCAGCCATTGAGAAAACCTATTATGCTGCTAATTTGATTGTGATTGAAAAGTTTAAGCCCATGATTTCAAATAGACCTAGACAATACATAAATGATTACGTTACATCCCACTGTATTTACCAATTTACATGTTTGTGTGGACACACATGCATATGGCTAGTAATTGAACAATGCAGTCATTAAACATGTGCCTAGATGGCTTCATAACCAATTAGTATCAATTTATCCAATCAACGTGGGAGGTAGAAAACCATGTTCATCGATAACGAAACATAAGATTGAAACAGGGCACAAAATTGACATTAATACAGCTTTTAAAACGTTGTATAGAAATTGTCAAGGCCGAATTCTCAGGTTTATTAAAGCCTTGGCTATTCGTAAATTTAAACCTCCCTCATGTGTACAAAACACAATTTGTCGTAACCTTGAATTTACCCTGGTAATCCTTAAGTCATTTTATGGCCTAAGATAACGCGACAATTTCTCATTCTTTCTGTACGATGTAAAAATATCCCCCCTTTTTTACTTTTTTTTACTCGAACTTTTATATAATTGACCTTTATTATTTTTCATATAAAATGTCCTGACAAGTATATATGTGACCAGATTGCTCGAAATGTATGGTGCAAATACATCACATTTTTCAGATCAACTCCGTCTTCTCATTGCTCTATCGAAATCTATAAAAGGGACTAATTGCTTTATGTTCCGAACGTGTCAATTATCTTTAATTCATCCACTAAGCATAATATTAGATGGGACATAGTGACAAGGTTTGCGTAATTAATTGCTGATGCTTGTTACTCCTTTCGAAGCATACGCCATCGGCCCGAGATCTTCAAGCAAATCTGTTCTGAGCTTCCCTTCCCAGCTGTCTTCAAGCGGTATTCATGGTCTTAATGTCTGATTCCCATTCCCAGCACCATGTATTCTTTGGCCTGTTTCTATTCCTTTTGCCCTGAGGATTCTAAGTTAAAGCTTGCTTTATGATGTAGTGTGATGTTTTCCGTAACGTGCGTCCTATCCACCCTCAGCTTCTCTTAATGTTCTCAAGTAGCAAATGATTTTTTCTCTCCCAGATTATGCTATTGCTGATGTTCACTGACCAGTGAATCTGGAATATCTTGCATAGGAAGTCATCTACAAATACCCATACCTTTTTGATGGTTCTAGCAGTTTTCAGCTTCATACAATAGCATTTGACAGCATGGATGTAAGAACTTTATGAGACCTTCGACACTATGGTGTAATTTAGAAATTTGTCAACATCATCCGGAATTCGTACGGCGGACTACACTACAAAGTGGTTTGTGAAGGACTGCTGACAAATGTATCTCAAGTGAGGACCGGAGACAGACAAAGCTAATTCCCGTCCTCCTTTCTCTTTCTTTTAGTGGTTGACTGGATTGTGGAGACCTCCACACCTGAAGGGAAGCACGGAACATAATCAACAGCTTGGATGCGACTAGACGATTTAGACCTCGCAGATGACCTATCCCTTCTATCCTATACATACGAAGAAATGTAGGTGCATTAATAGACCTCAACATACACAAGGAAGGAGCAAGATCATCAAATATAACACAGAGAACACCAACCCAATCACACTTGATAGAGAAGCTTTTGAAAATGTAGAATCATCGATGAACACGGTGGGTCTGATACAGATGTAAAGGCAAGGATTGGCAAATCAAAGGCCGGATTCCTACAGTTGAAGTACATATGGAACTCAAAACAACTCTCAATCAATATCAAGGTCAGAAGTCTCAATACGAACGTCAAGACAGTTCTACTGTACGGAGCTGAAACGTAAAGAACTACTACAACCATCATCAAAAAGGTACAAGTATTTATAAACAATTGTCTACATAAGATACTCAATATCCGTTGGTCAGATACCATCAGCAGCAACCTACAGTGAGAGAGAACAAGCCAGTTTCCAGCTGAGGAGGAAATTAGGAAATGACGATGGAAGTGGATAGGACACATATTAGGCAAATCATCAAACTGAATCACGAGGCAAGGACTAACTTGGAATTCTGAACCGAAACTGAAAACAAAAAGACCAAAGAACACACTATGTGGGGAATTCGAAGCAGACATGAAAAAGATGGATAACAACTGGAAAGGATTGCCCAGCACAGAGTTGCATGGAGACTGCTAGTGGATGGTCTATCCTTCTCCATGAGGGTTAACCGGCGTAAGTAAGTAAGTACAATAGGACTTTTAAGGTTAGCGCTGAAAGTTCTGACTGGTTTTCGGTGTAAGTTCTTTTGAATTCCAGTTGTGTAACTGTTGCCTTTGTTTTGACATCTTTATATACTGCCGTGTATGCGATAACACATTTAGGTCATCCAACTGTGTCCAAGGCGTCGACTATATTCGTATTCTTCGTAATCCAATCAACCATCACAAGAACAGGTAAAGGCGAGTCTAGGCTGCCTTGTCTGGCACTAGTTTTAACTTGGAATGGATTACTGAGTATTTATGTGACACCGTCATATCAAAAAGATGTGTTGTCACTGTCTTCGGTGATATTAAGTCTTCTAGGTTTGAAAAACAAAAGTAATTTGAATTATAGGTATCTGTTCATTTAATGTACGTTATACGTGTTCTAATTACAGTTTAAACATAGTCTCTGAACCTTCACTACGGTCTACTAAGCTTTAATTCTTGTGTCTATATAAAATCAAATCCTACAACCACATTTAGTATACTCTTATCATTTGGCTTATTATGTAGTGATAGGTATACATTTTCTTTTGTTATATGATAAACTATATAAACGATTTTACATGATTATCTGAACAATTGGACTGTCATCTTATCTTCTACATTCAGTGTACATACAATATCATTAGTAGTAAAAAAGTCTATAAATTATTCACGGTTAATAAGTATCCTGCTCCCCATCACTAAAGTGTAAACTTATTAGTTCCTAGACCAAAAAGCTAAACAAGCTACTTTTTTCAGAAACTGTTACTAATTGTTCCATGGATGCAAGTAAAGTACTCTAATTTGAAGAGATATAATCAAATCGAAAGAACATAGTTTATTTATGTTTACTTAAATGACGTAATTGTCTGGTAAAATCTTATGGCCTCGTTAATTTTGTAGTAATTTGTCCTATTTATTATGCATATGACTAAATAGACAATACAGATTATACTATTCGGTACAATTTAATATCGGTTTAAATTGTATCTCATTTTAAGTTGAAAAAATGCAACAATAATAATATCAACAACTTTTTTATGCAGAGCTGAATAACGGCCAACAGAAAGAAATAAAATAAAAGTTTACAAAAAGCAAGTAAGAAAATAAACAAATAAGAATTATGATAAAGGTAATCTTAGTTTTCCTTGTACCAGTTAAAATCTATTTCCATCACATGAATTTACTAAAGATTTATCTTGTGTTGATCTATCGTTTACTCGGATTTTTCTTCGTAAAAATGATGTAAACCGGTAAATCATATATCTAATTATGTATCATAGAGCTGGAAATCAATATCATAAACACAAAGGTGTATCCCCTGATTTATTCTCGTTTGTTTCCATCGACTGTTTCCGATATACAATCACAGATCATTTAAGTATTTGAATTCAGGCAGTTTTATAACTTCCTCGTTTAATTTACATTTTTTATAGAATTGGTCTGGTTTCATTAATGCAATGGTCAAATGTTTTGTCTCATTCTTGCTTTTCTTTGATACCTTTAGTTAATTAAATATTTTTTGATCAACAACTCATAGTCATTAGTGCCTTGGTCGAATATTTCTCACTTTTTATTCGCTTTTATGTCTTGAATCCTATTATTGTTTCAAACTCTCTGTTCAGTGGATTAATTCTCAAATCTCACTGTTTATGACTAATCGTTTCTACTATTACTTATAGTGTTACTACTTCTACTATCCTATCCTGACAAGTGGACTGAGCCATGTTGGTAGGTGTAGACTACCTGGTTGGGGACCGCGAGATGATAGCAGCCGATGGTTAGAGACCTTGAATGACATGGCTCAAAATCGTTCGCAATGGCGCAGGTGCATCCACTCCTTTTGTTCTCCCAAATCCTAATCTTCTGAATTCTTCATGTCCCTTTCTTTTTTCTCTTTCCAAATTTATTTCACTGGATTATACTCTTTAAATAACATCTTCAAACCCTAATCTTTCCGATTACTGCTTATACTCTTATTACCTCTACCACTACGGGATTTGAATCGACAAGTGCATCTCTGTGCTAATGTGGTATGGCAACTTGAACTGATGTACGTACGTACGAAGTTCTACGTTGTTACTGACTATGTTGATTTGGTGTGACAACTTGAACCAGGTTCTATGTTGCTTATATTTGACCAAATGAATCATTGTTGAAAGAACTTTGGAAATAGTTCATGAATAGTAATCGCATTAATTAAAGCACTATTCTGTGTTTTATCTAAAAACTACTCAAGTTTACTTTTTTGTTAGTTGTTAATTAATGATTAATTTTTATATAATTTTAATTGTAACATTTTAAACTGAATAAGACATATTCAACTAAATTACCAATAGTTGCAAGATAGAATAAAGCCAACTAATCAAAAATGTAGCTTAGTCTCATTACGAAATAAATTTCATGGTTCATCAAACTAATCTATTAGCTGTCTTTGGGCTATTTTTCACTAACTATATATCTTTTTCGTGATTAAAAAGAATTCTTTATATTTTCCCTTGGAAACGTCATGGAGCATAGTCTTTCTTTCCTCTTTTTTTCTCTCTCCTACATATATATGGTACATTTGTATGTCTATGTTTAATGCTTCATTTTGTCAGACACAAAATTGTTCTGAATGAAATTGTCTTATGATTGATAGTGTTAATTTGTACATAATTGCTTTTTTATTTTATGGCATAACGTGGTCTGATGTGATTGTATATAAACTGAAGAAGTCTGAAATGTATCATTCGTATAGTCGAGGCAGATATTGGCGTGCTGGACTTAACAGGCAGGACTAGACGACAGGGACCAATAAGGACTTTAAGCTGCTTGTACCGGTCCACACGTCATTGGTTTGGCACAGTGTTAAAATTGTATGAGTCGTGTTCTGATTGGTGACCTTATCATGTGATAATCAGCCGGGTAAAATTCGCAACAATATTTCTGCACAGATAACGTTTAGATGCATACCTTTTTATCTTTTCTTGTAAATCAACGCCAGTGGTGATACATATATGTATATATAATTATCTTCGTGAAAGCTGGAAGGTTTCTTGGAAGTATAGGAATGTAGTCACCATACGCATCTATTTGTTAATCTTATTGAAAATACTTATCAAGTTAGTATAACTTATTTGTAGTCTGCAGAAAATTACTCTTGACAGAATGTTTGTATGTTGCCGATAGATGATAGTGAATAGATACAAAATTAACTTTGATGTGTGTATCGTTTTGTTATCTTATTGCTTACTTATTCGATTAATTTTAGTTGGGCACTGTAGTAAATTTTAGTTCAGTTTGAAGAAAGTCCTCATTGTTATCGCCAAGAACATTGACTGCTGATCGTACCGCATCATGAATCAAGGGAAGTTGGGATTATGATCCTTATTAGATTCCAAATCAGTTGCTTAAGAATGAGGCAGTCACCGGGAATCTAGAAGTCCCTGGGTCCAATCCCCGGAGTATCCATGTTTGTATACTACGAAGTCCTAAAATGGGACAAAACAACTATTCTTGATGCTCCTTGGCTTTTAATGGTTCTCTAGTTGAAGTGAGTTAGCGACGGACTAAATTAAAAAAGAACCGTAAACATTAAATGACTATACTGTAACACGATTATTTTAGTACATCCATCGTCCAACCTTATATATGCTTATTTCCCATGAAGGTAATATTTCCGTATGATTTGTTTATTACCCTTAGTAGTTAATCCTCTAGCCTTAATCTGTGTACCATAATAATAGTCGGAATTGACATACATAATAAAGATATTAAAGAATCATGATTTGATTGTTTTAAATCATCTAAATCATTTTAAACTAATATTTCAACTAACTATAACGTTTGCTTTAAAACACAAGTCTGTCACTATCAAGGTGTGTTATACGTACATTCTATTCAACAACCTCAAACTCAAATGAAATAAATATTGATATTTTATGTCTTGTATTTGTTATCACGATTTCAGTGATTATAATAAACTTCTGAACTAATTAAGAACGAATAAACTGATATTTACCGACGGATCTAATGCCCATTTTTTTATCTAACAGATTGCAGCAAACATAATTGTTTGTTAACTGACTGAGTACATGATTATGTACTAGGGAAATAATAATTATTCTTCCTGTATGTTAATATTCAGTAAAGGTTCTACGAAGCATCGGTTACTTGTTAATCGTTAAGTCAGTCAGTCACAACGTAGGACCAGGCACATATATGCATCGGTCCAAGTTGCTATACTGCATTGGCACAGCAAGATGAACACCGGATTCATAGAAGTAGTTGATTCAGTGGTGGTAATATATAACTTGAGAATTAATAGTGAATGAAAATCACACAATAATTATTAATCTATCATGTTAGTTGTGCTCTACTCCTTCCTGTTGATATAAACTCAGAATAATATTGTTCTCAAAACCATACGGTTGAAGTTATTTTTATCGAAATCTTCCAAAAAGAAGAAACACCTACCATATGTATAGCGGAAATGGCTGCGTAAGTGCTACTTGCTGTTAACGTCAGCTGGTTTCACTGACTGTGTTGGACAGTGAACAACTCTTACAATCATTGTATCTAGCTGCGTGTATATATACAGTGTTATGTAAATAAGAAAAACATTGTTTAATATAATAAGTTTAATGTGCTTCAATTAACTGGACGGATTAATGCTTATAATCCTAGCTCTTTTCTGATTAGTCAAGTGTTAGCTGTGATCAAAATTTGGTTTTTATTAGTAGGTATCTTTTTAATTATATACTTATCAGATAAATGGTGTGCGGTTGAACTTATTCTTAAGAAAAAACTGCACGTTTTCCTGTCTCCGTTTAGGTATGCTTAAACGTGCATTGTAATGAATTATTTGTATTAGTGATAGATATGGATTTATTTTACAAAAATGATGTATGTTTGACTTATTATTTATTGCAAAGTAGCATTGAGTTGGGTCATAAAAGCAAGAAAAAAATACTTTGTATTTGTAATGTATATTTGTTTAACCTAACCGTATATTTAAATGTAGAATTGAACTATTTCATTGTTCTAAATTTTTCTGCAAAAGAAGCGTTTTCTCCGTCTAGTCGCGCAAAAAAAAACAGTAATCATACAACGCTTTTCTTTGAAGCTTCTAGAATATGATGAGTTAATTTTGTGTGTGTGTGCAATTGGGTGTACGTTTGTCGACAGTGGTAAACAATGCAATATTTCAACAAAACATAAGTATACTTGAAAAAATCATTTATCATTTATCAATTTTTCGTTTATGCAGCTGAAATTGTTGCTTTTTAATTAAAAGCCAAATCTAAATTGTTTGATTTTATTGGACTTCAATGTTATATTATTGTTGATCGAACGTTTAGAATGACAGTTTTGTCAGTTATATTAATGCGGTAGAGAACTGTTGTTGGCTTATCCCGATGATTTAATCTGTCTTTTTATGTATATGTGGTTTTTGCTATTGGGTGCTTTCCATAGTTGGTGACGAAATCTTCATATTTTCTCTTTGTTAACTGCTTGTTTTACAAAGGTTGGTGTGTCTGATTCCACCATTGATTTTCCACATCAAACACCGGATTCTTCCGAACGTTTACAACGTACTACATCAACGTCAGCAACAGCAAAAACAATGCTAAAAACAGGGAATAAGCTGGATCCCTTGGTACAAGCCAGTCCTGTAGATATGAATCCTTTTTTTATAAAAGAAAGTACTAAAGTCAATCGAGATGACACTGGTATGACAGCATCGTCATCATGTCCAGCTACTGTACCAGATGATTTATGTACAACAGATAATAATACTAGTCCATTACAGTCAGGATCTAGAGCTGCTCAATCGGTGTTAAGTGAGAGCGGTAGTAGTCCATTGGGTGGTTTAAATAGTACACCGGAAGCTACTAGTCTTCCGGTAAGTCATGGTCCTCTAAGTATTGGGAATATATCTTCACCAACTAGTGGTCGAAATATAGATGATCAGCGGGTGGCTTGGATGAGAGATCGATCGAAAAAAGATAGTCATAATCGAAGTAAGTAATACTTGTTTTTGTTTCCATTTTCTCATTGGTTGTTGCTTTTTCCGATATGAAAATGTGATTTATCGAGTTTATGATTTTTTCGGTAAAGTAATCGATCATTCGTTTAAACCATCACACTGGAATAATCAGAATGAATGTCTAAGTAGTTTTATCATCGACTTATATTCCACAGAAATAATCTCACATGAAATTACTTTATTTTTCAAGAACGTCATTTTCGTAACACCTCGTTTATATAGATTTCTTAGACTATAAGCATTTAAATTTCTTTTAATAGGTATTATATCTAACCTACTTTTTTCCCACAGTTAAAAAGATGTATTATTTGTTAACTGTATGATGTAAATACGCGGTTAGTAAATTCCTAATTTTTGCAAGATCTATATCAAGTTCCACCAATGCTTTTGTCAACTGATTGTCTTCTATACACATTGAAGTGAACAGTCGCTGCATAAGCGTAATACATACTGTAATAATCACAGGTAATACAATTGAGATTCAAATATCTTTTCTGTTTGTACAACAATTTCTGCTTAATGGTAGCGCCTTATTCAAGTACCTGTCAACTTTGTAGTTTCCCCATCTTCCAACTTTTCGTTGAATCTTTATATTTACAACGAAATTCTTTTTAGAAAATTAAGTCATCTTAAAATTGCTCTTCGATAGGATCTCTTGATAAAGTTAGTTTTATACACCTCTAGTAGCGTTCATGGTTAGTTTAAATATATGTGTAATTGTAACTTGAAAGGATACTCTTTGAATGTTTTAAATTCAGCCTAAAAGACTATATATTTTTCTCTCTCTCTCTTAGTTGAACGTAAGCGACGAGATTATATTAACTGCCAAATTGCTGAACTTGGAAGTTTATTACCTGAAGATATGTTCAGAGATGGGTATGGAATTTCAGCGTTTTCTTTTTTACAAAACTTCCACTCATACTTATTTCTTTTATTATTTCGGATTATTTATTACTATTATTATAATTCGTTACACAAATTTGTTAGATTTACCAACGTTTTAAGTTGTGCGAAATCCTATTCTAACCTATTTTCATTATTTTACAACCAAACTACTGGTATTTCACTCTTAATATTGATAAAATTGGAACTGAAAACAACGCATTAAACGACCTATAAAATCTTTAAAAACAAAATCGAGATAGATACTGTAAACAAAGTACACCAACTAGAAAACTAACTAGACGTAATTATTGGAGTGAAGTAAGAAAATAATTTTAACATAGTGTATCGCACATATGGTTGGTAACGTGATACAATAAATGCCCTGGTATGGCCGAGAGTGGGGTGGGTTCGCCCTCCCTCTTGAAATACTCTCACAGGGCCGCGGGTATACAGCCTCTGCCAGGGAAGTCCTACTCACTGCCTTCTCGTGGCGGGGGTGTTGTTTACGAAAATGAGAGGACGAAAAGCGAATGTCCGGCGCTTTAACCGGATTCCAAATCAATGGTGCACTTGGGCACCAGTATCCTGCGGGAACAAATGGCGTATGAACCAATCGTTGGTCACCGGCTACTATAAGACTGCATCTCCTTACGATACTCCACTGCCTTGTGGGTTAGACCTTTAGGTCAAAGGCTCGGGGTGTGGCCCCCTAAGATAACCACCTGCTTCGGTTTGGGCACCCGGGCAGTATCGCAGCCCACACACAATTAATGAGCTGAACTGTCTATGAACTGTCTAAAAAATAAATAAAGATTATGATATATGAAATAGTGGGGAAACTTTAAATGAGCTGTGTATGAACCCTAGATACTCTATCAGGCCTCACACACAAAATTTTAGGGAAACGTATATTGAGATTCTGTTAAGGGGTCATTCACTTTAAACAAAATTAACACTTATGCAATTCTTAGCGCTATGAATGTCACCTTATCCTCAGTAAGATAAATCCATCAAATTGTTGTAATCCCAAATCATTTTGCTTGTTATAATGCCTAGAAATATGTATTCATTAGTTTAAATCTTCATTTCTAATCATTAAAGTTCATACATAGCAACTCTAGTCCATAAATTTAATTAGGCCTCGAAATGGGCATTTTACGCTAAAAGGTTTTCCGATTATGAAAAATATCCTCTGTCAACAACGAATACAATTCCACCAGTGTTCTATGTTTGAAGCGTCTATTTGACCTAGTGTCAGCCTGAGGATCCACTACTTCCATATGAATGTTGTGTCTAGCTATCTTAACATCAAAAGAAAATTACCCAGTTGGTAAATTAAACTCCTGTTTGAACACTTTAGGGCCTTCGAAATGTTTTGAACACTTAAGCGTAGAAAATACATTCCTAAATAGATTTCAATGAGGTCTCAAATTAAGCGTAGTTAAGTCTCTTATATTATCTAGGCAATCAGTTGAGTTTGATTTCAAATACTATTCTTACTTCTGCATACAATTCAGGTGCAGAAATATCCTTATCCTGCTCTTTCTTATTGATTCATCTAGTATTTCAAGAATATCAACGATAAGTGCAAAATCTGAGAGGTACTCATTTGTTTTAAAATTATTTAAGAACTCGTGTCGTATTTTTATTTTAAAGAATATTAAGATTTATTCCGCCAGGTTCCGAACTCACTTCAGTTTTTCCACATTTTTAAATGATCTCAAATCGTAGTTTAGCTGCCGTACTGCTCAAACTAATAGTCAATGGCTATTGGCTAATATCATTTGGCCAAATTAAACTGTCCCTCTGTTTTTATCTAGACGAGACTGCAAAAAGTGATTCACCCTAGGTAATCCAAAGTGATTCATAAATACATCAACCCTAAACTATTAAGTCACAAATTGCAATGTAATTCAATGTGAATATCATCATCGGTCTTCGCATAGTATGTATATACACCTCATTATATATAATGGTAGGTTGATAAAATGTCGCACTTCCTATTATACAAACAGTCGTCAATATTTCCTAGAAGTTTGTCGCTCAAACCAAGGTGCAGATTTAAACGTTAAAACTAACTAAATATTCTTTGTTTGATAAGAATCAAACTTTTACCGTTTAATAGCTTCAAAATAGTCATTCCATATCCCTCCTAATAAATTCCTTTGAATGTTTTTTGGCCATAAACAGTTATCTACAGTTGATTGATGTCTGAGTAGTAATGACTAATGTCATTTATGGGTGTCCTGCCCTTTATTGCTAATCTAATTCTATTGACCAAGTTCTCACTTATCTGAGTGGACTAAGTTGAAATTTTATGAGGTGATTGTGTGTGTTGTCGGGTGGTCATCTCTTACAGGAAATCACTAAAATGCAGGAGTATCATATAATCTTTATACTTGTCATATGTATGAATTGGCATCATCTGTTTACGCATATATGCCTGTATGTGCTTGTTTTTCATTTAAAGTGATGGTAAAAAGAACAAAGGGAATATATTGAAGAATTCAGTGGAATTTATTTGTCTATTACGTTCGGAATTGGCACAAATACCGGAAGTTCGACGAGAAACTAGTTTAGCTGCAAAAGTTATCGGACAATTGGTCAAACGTATTCAGGTAAGCGTTAAAGTAGTTTGTTTAGTTAACATTTTCACTTTCTTCATTAAACAGTTATTTTCCAAAAATAAGAAAATAAGGTATTTTTATTGCGCCAATTACTTTGCGTTGGTATGTTTCAAAATGTTTTTGTTTATAAAGAAAAGATGGAATGTGGCTAACAGCGGAATCTAGGACTCCCGTTTCGTCTTATTTGGAACTCGTCGGTTGGATATGCCTGCACTACAGAGTTGATGTGCGCTCTTATTGTGTAAAACAAGTCTGTGATTAATTTAGGTGGTGTTATGTGGTGTAATGAGAAGACGAAATAAATTAGAACTGTGTTGTATCAAGACAATCCATATCGAACAATGATGTAATCACATGTTAACTTATAAAGATATTAATCTGTAAGATAAACATGTCAAAATAAATAAATGGTAACAATTGTAAAACAAATAAACAATGAAAAGCTTTATTAACACCAACTCTTGGTATTGAAAACTTTAAATCAATATTACAAGGGTATATTTAACGTAAGTACAAATTGTATTTCTGAATACACTAGGGAAATTTGAATGAATTCAATCGCTTGTTTGTAATCTCTGTTTAGTGCTAAAAAAGGACGGCTGCTTATCGTCTATTTTTTAAAGCTTTTTTTTACAACCATTCATATATACGTCTAACAATCCTTAGTTCTATATTATGCTTACTTTTATCTATAGTTACGTCTACATATACATGTATATTGATAAAAACAATGGGATGCAATGTAATTGTTTGGATGATATTTTTGTTTTTATTCGAGCACAGGTTATGCTTTTTTGTTAGAAACTTGATGCTATTGGACTTATGTATGAATTGTAATTTGATACAATGTTAAGAACTTAGTGGGTTTCAACATATCAGTCTTCTCAACAGTTTATTAATTTTGTTAAACTTTCTCTCGATGCGAATATTTCATTTAACATCTTGACTTCACCTTGTATAGTTTCCGTTTTACAAATATGTTGGGTTTTACTAGGTAAACTCGTTATCAGTTTTCGTTTTCATTCAACTGTGATCAGGAATGAATAAAATTGAAATGCGTTCCTGTTCATATAGTCTTTCTATATGTAGATTGTTTATAATAGATCTATGTTTACCTCAATTTACGTATATCTAAACTAAAACTGTTTTGTTCTTAGCTCTTCATTCTTTTATTAGACAAGTTGTATATTCAGGTTAAGCATAAATTACAATGATATACTACGCAAATGTCACGTAAAATAATTTATTTTCGGCGTGTGTGACATGAACATGTTATGCTCATACCTATACGTCGGCATACATTCTCAAATCATAAACTACTGTCAACTTCTTGGATGTAATTATGCTCAAATTTTGATTGAATTTTATCAGTGCATGATAATAATAATATTAAATCTACTAACAACTTTAAGGTGAATAGGCAATGAGGAATTATTGGAAGATATTCAACCATATGAATAGTCTTTTTCAGGTGTGCATTTGTAAATAAAAAAATTGCTTAGAAAACAACTTTTTTATATTAGTAACATTTAATCAATCGATATGCTTTAATGTGTGTTTTATAAAAAAAAACTTAGCTTTTGAATGAACCCCAGTAATTTTGTTACTTATTTTGTGAGGTAATTAACACATTAGACTGTGAAAAGTTATAAGTTTTAGGCTATTCAGAACCCTTTATATGATAAGAGACTAAATATATATTCAGTAATTACGATTCTGCTAGGGTGGTCTCATGAATAGTCAGATTTTATTATATAGGCTAAGATCTCTTTTGGAACGATAACCGCTCACATACCTTCAACCAATTTGATTTTCCACATGACCTTTATCCTCTGATTAGCTGTCACGTTTTTTATTTCGGTAATTTGTTACATGCTGGAAGGTCACATTCTGCTACTATAGTAATATCTTTTGTATCAATTTCGTTTGAGTTACTTGTTCTACCACAAATGTAAGTTACCTGCGATTCAGTCTTCTTCTTGTTTTGGCCATCGAGGTTTGATGTGTTGAGCATAATTGACTTGTCAGTTCCGAAGTGAACTGATCGCGTTAGAGAAGCTCAATCGTTTTCGTTCCTAAATCCGTAACATATTAAGCCATACTGAACCCCAGTAACAATATACAATAGGTTCACATTAAATCACTTAATTAGATTTCAGTTTACTCTTCTGACTAATTTTTATATTCCCTTCAGTATAGTACTAGCTAGCTTTTACTATTATGATTAGGTAACGTGCTATGTTTTGTAAATAGGTTTACTATTCGATAACTACTATTAATGCTTTGTCAAGTTTAAATTGATACTTTTGTTTCTAATGCATTTCTCATTGTGTTTTCTTATAGCTAAGGGATATAATATAAGATATTATTTCATACACATATTTCCCTTTATTATTTTAAAGAGAGTAAGAACAAAAGTTGGTGCAGAATAATATGAATTCATTTTATTTCGTTAGGTTCTCATCAGCTGCTTACAACCTAAAATATTTGAAATTCAACGTTATTATAGATATTGACATACTTATACAACAGAGGGCGATGAAGGATGAATATATGTAACATAATGTGGTAAAAATTTCGTTAGAGTTAATGAGGTCACAAAATTTTGTTTCGAATATATCGAGTTTGGGAGGGAAGGTTCCAGAAAATTGAAATAGTGATTAGAAATCATGGAATTAAAACACATTAGACGATTATGTAATGAAGTAACTGAAAATAGATTAATGTTAATAAAGAGAGATATGAATTGAAATTGGTCAGTTTTGAATGATGTAATTATAAAATTCAGAAAGAGTTGAAATGACGTAATAAAAATAAATAAAATAAAAGGGGGTGGGGTGAATGTTACCAGGGCAAAGAAAGATTTATTACTGTTTCTTTTTGTATACAAAGATCTGGTTTTAAACGTTTGATTGCTATTGCTTCCGCGAATTTCAAAAGGTTTGAATTTGATTGTTTGTTGATCACCTTGAAGGACTTCAGTATATCGACTTCGTGTCCTGTGTCAAGGAGATGTCTTGCGACAGCGCTGCTAAATGCTTTTAGTCCGTTTGATCTCAAACTGTTCAGAATATGTTCTTTGAATCGGACGTAGGCTCTCCTTTCTGTTCTACCAATGTAACTGCTTTGGCAGATACATGTAAATTTGTATACACAGTTGGTGGTAACATGAAAGGGATACCTGTCGACCTTTGATTGTGTCAAAGAACATGTCGTTTTGGACAGGACAATCAATTTAGCTGCAGGATATGTTTTTGTCAGCGCAGTTTTTAGTCTCATATTGATTGACCCTGTGACATTATCGCCTTTGAACTTGAGTTGAATAAAAACAGGTTTTTTATTTACTGTAGTTTCTTTGGGTATTTTATCTTCACGTTTTCCATATTTCTCAATGAATTTCAATGGGTATCCGTTATTTCTTAAACACTTTTTAACATTCATAATTTCCTCTTCTATTGTATCGACAGTGCATATTCTTTCTGTTCTATGAAACAGTGCTTTGACAAGCGCCTTTTTATAATTGATTGGACAAAAGCTGTTGAAATTGAGATAACTACCATTCCATCTGTCTTTCTTATAAACTGAGCGTTGAACTGTGCCATCCTTTCTTCGTTTTATCGCTATATCGAGGAAATGGAACTTGTTTTCTTTTTTATGTTCCATAGTGAAATGAATATTTGGATGAGCTTCATTGAAAAACTTTAACAGATTTGTTGCATGTTGTTGATTATTACATAAGATGAATGTATCATCAACATACCTCGAATAATACATCATTTCATCAATCGCTCCTTTGAGCTTGGTTGTTTCGAGGTTAGCCATGAAAATGTCTGCTAGGACGGGGCCTAACGGACTTCACATTGCTACACCATCGGTTTGTCGGTATATAGTATTGTTGAACTGGAACTGAATATCTTTTGTACACAAGAGTAATAGACATTTGAATTCTATTGCTGGTAGAGGTAGGATATCAGGATGTTGACAAATTATGTCTATGGTTTCAAGAAGTGGTATTTTTGTAAACAATGATGTCACATCAAACGAAACCATAAACTTACCAGCAATATTCATGTGATTCATGCTATCAGCAAATACAAATGAATCCTTCAGTGTATAAGTGGCTAATCGTTGACGAAGTGGTTCTCATTTATCTGCCAGCCATCTTGCAACTTTGTGGTATGGTGAATTGACCGTTGACATAATAGGTCTAAGAGGATTATCTTGTTTATGTATTTTCGGTAGACCATACATATGGGGCAAACGAGACCCACGAGGTCGTAGGTTATTGTAAGTAGAATTGTCGATCATCTTGCTTTTCAGTAGGTCTCTGAGTACTTTCTTGATTCTTTTCTCGGTGGAGTCAGTTAAGTCTTTGTTACTTTTTTCCAACTTGAATCTCGTGTGGTCACCCAAAGAAACTACAGTAAATAAAAAACCTGTTTTTATTCAACTCAAGTTCAAAGGCGATAATGTCACAGGGTCAATCAATATGAGACTAAAAACTGCGCTGACAAAAACATATCCTGCAGCTAAATTGATTGTCCTGTCCAAAACGACATGTTCTTTGACACAATCAAAGGTCGACAGGTATCCCTTTCATGTTACCACCAACTGTGTATACAAATTTACATGTATCTGCCAAAGCAGTTACATTGGTAGAACAGAAAGGAGAGCCTACGTCCGATTCAAAGAACATATTCTGAACAGTTTGAGATCAAACGGACTAAAAGCATTTAGCAGCGCTGTCGCAAGACATCTCCTTGACACAGGACACGAAGTCGATATACTGAAGTCCTTCAAGGTGATCAACAAACAATCAAATTCAAACCTTTTGAAATTCGCGGAAGCAATAGCAATCAAACGTTTAAAACCAGATCTTTGTATACAAAAAGAAACAGTAATAAATCTTTCTTTGCCCTGGTAACATTCACCCCACCCCCTTTTATTTTATTTATTTTTATTACGTCATTTCAACTCTTTCTGAATTTTATAATTACATCATTCAAAACTGACCAATTTCAATTCATATCTCTCTTTATTAACATTAATCTATTTTCAGTTACTTCATTACATAATCGTCTAATGTGTTTTAATTCCATGATTTCTAATCACTATTTCAATTTTCTGGAACCTTCCCTCCCAAACTCGATATATTCGAAACAAAATTTTGTGACCTCATTAACTCTAACGAAATTTTTACCACATTATGTTACATATATTCATCCTTCATCGCCCTCTGTTGTATAAGTATGTCAATATCTATAATAACGTTGAATTTCAAATATTTTAGGTTGTAAGCAGCTGATGAGAACCTAACGAAATAAAATGAATTCATATTATTCTGCACCAACTTTTGTTCTTACTCTCTTTAAAATAAGATATTATTGTCTTATTCATTTGATACACACACAAAATAAGTGTATCAACTACACTGAAGTTATTGTATCATTTTAACATATCGGTTTACGCATTCAATTTATTTATTGTTTTGAAGTTATACGTTGGAACTTTACTGCAATCTCATTTAGTTTGACTAGTTTGATAGAAACTCCGGTTTTCATGTGATAAGTGAAACTCAAAAAATAAACACAATAATGTATAATTTTGGATGTGAATGTAAACTAGTTAGAAAACTAGCGTACGAATGACAGTATTATTGAATGAGATATTTCCTAGATTTATATTATTGAAGGATCTGAATGGCTTCAAATACGTGAGTGTAAGTGGGGTTTATGGGCGTACTGTTTTAAGTTCTACACATTCGAAATTTATGGACTATTCAATGAGGGTAATCAGTTAACTAGTATTCACAAGGCGCTTCTGTGTTACATTGAGGGATTTTGAGAGTTGGTGTAAGATCAAATGTGTATCTATGTATTTGTGCATGTGGAAACTTTTCTGTATGCAATCCATGTGAAAATAACCGTTTGTTTCATCCTTAACGTCGCACAGTACATATGCAGGAGTCGAAACTGTTTGCTGCTGGCAAATTATTCTAAAACTTGTCACTGGTTATTTTTTTAATAACTCATTTAGTGCATATTGTTATGATAATTTCATTTATATAGCTTGTAATCTCATACTACTCTTTGTTCATCCTCGTCATTTGGCTAAATGTTAGACGTCAGATCTTTTGATTTACGCTTGCTGGAGGGAAATAATTGAATTATTTTATATGATAGAGGCGACCTGCTTAAATATCTGGGCTAATTGTTCCTGCTATCTGGATATTTCGACGAGTTATCTTTTTACTCGTTTGTTTTAACACGTCATTATGCCTATTAATCTCATGACTATTCAGGTGCGTTTGTGAAAAATTTACGACATTTCGCTGTACAAGTTACGAAAGAGCCCAATCAAAGACATCGTGGTTGCTGAATATATGTATCGAATAGAATATACATTATTCAGATGTCGTGTCCTGAACTGCTAACATCTAAATGGTGGCCACTCAATATTTATCACAAGGATTGACCAAGAAATAAAATTAAAGAAACCTGTTGAAATAATTTGTGCTGAAAATTCTATATTACACCTAAAATATAATACTGAATAGAGCCACTAATAAAATATCCAGTTTTTTCCGAAACTGAACGTGATTAAAAACGATCGTAATCGCGATAAATTGTATTCATAGAGAACCTAAATGCAATCTGATACCACAACAATAAGCTATGCGATCACTGGATCACAACATTAGTTAACGAAAATGTTGTTTTGAGTTTTTTCCTCACTCTGCAACGCGTCGATCGCCAGTAACCACCAACAAAATTCTAACCTACCAACAAACTGAATTTTAATGCGAACGAACTGAAATCACGTAACCAGTACACCATCTTTCATTACATAAGGTGTTATTAACAAATTAACTTAATTGAAATTTTCTAATAACAACATTAGTACTAGCTCAACTGCGAACCGTTAAATTACTGATATTTGATTAGAAAATTGAAATCCCAATACTACTCATCATTTTTAGCTGATAGAATTATATCAATCTTAATACCTTATCTGATTGTCTGCTTTTTTGTCTAATGTAATTCGAGTTATCAGCATGAGTAACTATCGATAGATTGATACTATGAACATTTACATGCACAATTCATAACCAATTCATTAATTTCACATACCCTAATGTTTTTATGGTATATATACATATATATAATTGGTTTTTTCACGAATTATCATTTGCGATAATGTTAAACATTGTTACATAGTGTTTTAAATTATATTGATTATTAACTTTTAGGCTGTTTACATTCTATCCTGTTTACGCATTATTCTTTGTTTGCTGTCTCTTCTGATATCTTTGTCTTCTCGTAGTTTCGCTTTTCGAATATTCTTCTTTGTTTTTCGTTTGTTGATCATTTATTTTGTTATTATTATTATTACCATTGTTAACGTCAAATAATGATTAAATAAACTAACTCATTTATCAGCTACTTGGGTATGAGATACACTCTAGTTTTAATAGAGGGTTAATAATACTACCCGGTTGCTCAAACCGATGTAGGTGGGGAAAGGTTCTAACTTGGAACTTGGTGATTGAAAGTAGAAGTTGGTTTTCATTCATACTATGACGGTTGTTGAGCTCAGTGTATATACTGAAGAAATATTTATAAATTACCATTATTGTTTTTTTGTCCGACGTATTTGAGTGTAAAGCAAACTATACACAGTAAACGTTATTTTATTCACTGGACAATGAAAAAATAACGTGTAACTCTATCCATTGGTTTTTTATGTTGTGAATTAAATAATGTCCTACATTTGGAGTTTTTCGTGGAATGTATGGATTTTAATTGTTAACGAAGACCGAGGGGAATGAGTTAATTAAAATTTACAATGGCAGAATTTGAATGGGCTATACCAGTGGGTGGTTGTAATCATATCAGAATTTAGATGAGCTAAGTATTTTTGAATTGACCTTTCGTTGCTCATAACCTATTTTTTTCTGTCTACATTCCTGACTTACTCATGCAATAAGTGCGAATTTTCATATTCAAATGTAACCCGCAATTTTGTTGTGTGACTGCACTTAAACCGGAGTGGATTGGGTGAAATTTAAATATGCAACTTGCTAATTAAAAGGCAAATATGTTAACCACTAAGCCACCGCTACTGAATGTTTAACTTTTAGTTTTAACCACTATGGGTAAACAACACATGATCCCTCATTGTTTCATGTAACGTTTTTATATTTAATTATTAAGTATTATCATCAGAAGTTATATATAATAAAGCACTTACAGTTCTTTTTATTCACCTACAAACCTCTAATTATCTTGTATTGAAAAAATCACTTTCTCACCTTCAAGGAATTAGAATCAGTTACAAATGTAGCATCTATGCAAACTTCACATGCAAATCGAAATAATCCGGATTATCAAAATCTGTATCAAGAATGGAGTATATTGCATGAAAACAATTTACTAAATTCATTGCCGATTTGTACAACTAACTCACCAATCACAAGATCCTCGTTTCCACAGTCCACAACAGCTGGCGGTTCATCACCCGGCCTATCTTCTGTTGGTACAGATGAAATGATTAATAGTGATACAAAAGTTGTTTTCGCAAGTAAGATGTTATTGTCATTTATTATCCTAACAATGTTGGAATTTCACCCTGTATCATTTCCTTAATAAATATTGTGAATTCTGCTCGTGTATCAGGCTGCATAAAAAATTTAAGTTTACTTATGTTTATAATTACGTAACTGGTTTTAGATAAATATTTGATTCGTTTATATAATTTAATTAGTTAAATTTTGAATGGTGTATATTATTTCACTGGGATGCAGTAATTCGAAATAATTTTTTTCAGTTTACTGAGATCCCGAATATGCTTCACGTATGTCATGGTGTAGTGAATAAGAACACAAGTCGGGACAACCAAATGTATTTGAATACAAATTACAGAACGTCTTAATAAAATCTGAGAATCATACAGTAATTACTTTATTTGCAAAATGTAAATCAATTGTCTCGGACTTGATTGTTCTTTCGTTTCCACACCAATCATTCTTTGTTCTCGTTCTTTCTCCTTCGATCTTCCCAACCTTCTCCTTCCAGACATCTCACTTTTGATTCGTTGTACTGCTTATATCTGTCGACATCAGTAGCCCACACCGCAATAGTATTTGGGACAATTCTAGACCAATATTTATAGGAAAAAATAATTCAAGAAAAAGAGGCTAACAGTACAGTAAGGTATCTTATGAAGAGAAGAGATGTTCCTTGTGAGAGTGATTTGTTTTTCTACGTGAATGACCTCAGCCGTGGTGAACAATTAAAAGCAGTTCAATAATGGATCATACAAACTTCCCCATGTTTCATTGAAATCGATACAAGGATGCGCCCTGAAAGTTGATATAATACTATAGCGTAATACTACCATTGAGATATATATTAACTGACTAAATGTAATAAACCAGGAAGTGTTCGTACTAAGAAAGGGGAACGAATAAAAAATAACTAGCAGTTCGTTTTAAAATGATTTGCTTTGGTATTGAATACATTTGGTGACTAAAGATGTTAAGATATTAAACTAAGTTACGATGGACTAATTATACTGAGAATACAATTGCTTATTATGAATTAGAACAACATTTATAAACGAACAATATTGCTTTCGACCAGATCCTCATCAGGCTTCACTCTAATATGCAGTAATATTTATATGCATATATGAAATTATTAAACCAATCAAGACAGTTCATGAATCAGTGTTAACAGTGGATTAGACTGCATAAATAAACATAATAAGTTAAGAGTACAGATTGGTAGTGTGATGACAAATGTACTAGTTGTGATAATAGTAATAAAGGCTTGTATCCATGTTTCATAGTGGGAATTAGGTTCTTTCTATAACAAATTATTTGATTAGAGTTTAATTAGAACGACAAACCACATTCTAGCTCGTTTTCTTATATCTCGTCGGCACGGAATTAGATGGTGTGAAATGTATCAGCAGCACTGAATTGTTAGATTTTCAGAAGACGAGATTAATTACAAGTTTTTGATTTTTACGGATTACATTAATAAATCACCCTTTTAATGCTCTATCTTTTGTCCTCTCTTGGTTTACTGTTTTTACTCAATGGAATTATTTATCACTTTATATTGCCCTTTCAGGTGCGACAGTAAACGGAGTAAGCTTTAAAACAAACATATCTTGGCGTTGAAAACAAACGTGTTTAGTCACATCCATTTGTGTTTTCTAAAGCTCGTTTAAATAATCTTCGCTAAATATGGTCTAGTCTTTTCACTCACTCATTCCTTATATTTAAATACCGTAGAGAAAAGGATAAGGAAGTGTATTAGCAGTCTTGGAATGCTTCTGGATAGTAGACTTGACTTCTGATAGGCATTCAAATATCTTATATAATTTGTTCGTTTCCATATAATCTTCTTTTAACGTATCATAGTTTGGTTGTGGTGACATACTAAACCATGCAATCTGCATTTTGAAAAGGGATGTTATTATAGATCATATTTGGTGCATATTTGATATATAAAATGAGATCAATTACCTCAATCAATATAGATTTTGAGGTTTCGCCAACTGCTCACGTAAACTCGATCATTGAATGTAAAGCTCTTCAGTGAAGCGTTGGTTGCAGACTTACTGTTACTCCTCGTGGAGGAGCATGGACTGCCCACCAGCACTCTCCATCCAACCCTATCCTGGGCAATCCTTTCCAGCTGTTATGCATCCTTTTCATATCTGCTTCTATTTCCGGACGTAATGTGTTGTTTGGCCTTCCTCTTTTCCGCTTCACTTCAGGATTCCAGGTTAGGGCTTGCCTCGTGATGCAGTTTGACGATTTTCGTAATGTATGTCCTATCCATTTCCATCGCCGTTTCCTAATTTCCTCTTCAGCTGGAAGCTGGTTTGTTCTCCCACTGTAGGTTGTTGCTGATGGTATCCGGCCAGTGTTGGTTGAAAGTACCACAAAAAGTAGCAGAATATTACTTTTATCTAATAAAATAGCACACTTCTATTCAAAATATCAAGTAGAAAGCTGCATGTTATTGGAAGTTATTTTTATGAAATAATTGATTATGTAGCATGTATTTTGTAAGGTATTTGTTCGATTGTAAAATTATTATGCATTTATTACCCTTGATTTTTGTGAGTTTCATGTAAAATTCTTCCAATAAATATATAGTTTTAGATTCTGGCCTATAACTATCAAATAACCTACATTTTTTACATCATCTGTATACTGCTAATTTATCAAAATAACTATGGGTTTACGGGATTTTGTTTAATAATACAATTATGGTAATGTAGGATAGAGGTTTTAACAGTAGAAATTCTATGATGGACATCACCATTTGCTGTGCTAACTTAGGTAGCTTCTTTTCACAAACCACCAACCCAGTCTCTATTCAATCAGAAAAGCCTTCACATTAATGCACAATATATCTTCTGTCCGACTAGGAAAGTACTAATTAACTTGTCGTTTCACTTAAAATACTATTCAATTTTCAATCTATACACTGAGATTTTTGCACACAAGTTAAAGGAGAAACGTAATACAAATTCGTATGACTGTTTTCACAAAACTTATAATTGTATTCGTTGTTTAATACTGTTTAATCGACTTGAGTAACAATCCAAGCTATATTGGGGATACGTCATAGAGGCCCAAAAGATGGGGATACGTTTCTTTCTCTCTAAATACAAAATGTTTCCTCAGAAATGGTCTGCATCAATCCCTAAACCAATGATTAAGAATAAAATATTTGAGGATGTCGACCATTTCACTTATCTTGGAAGTCTGATTGTTATGTTCGCTACGTGATTAACGCAGAATACGACACTCGAATGTATAGAACCCCCACAGTCGTAAATCAGAAGACCGGAGCAGTGCTTGTTGGGTAAGAATCAAAATGTACAGAAAATCATCGGTATTTATAGGTATTAGCGTTTGTTGTATCAACATTATAATTCAACCAATCCACAAATGGGCATTCTGTGCTATTTTCCAATAGTAGTACGTCACGTTGATATTCTAGAAAGCTCCACCACATTCTGATTGGATGAAAACTTCGACTCCTTTAAAGCCTCTGGAGGCTGTGTCGAAGTTCTCAGAAGCCGTTCTAACTCTGGTCAGTCCTGATGGGTTGTTATCTGACGAAATCGTGGCTTGCTCTTGCCAATCTACATCACATTAGCAGTAGGCAAGGTGATTATCTACCAGTCAAAGAATTGCACAAAAGTTCATTTTGTTAAACTTTATGATTATGAAATATAAAACCCGCTAGTATTTGATTGCAGATGCCTTCGAGACATTGTTTGCGTATTGTATGAACTACTGACTGAGTAATTTGTGGTTCGACGGCTAATGTTGTTTACTACCACTGATACTGATACAAATAATTTGACTTTTATTATGATAGCCTTGTTCTGATAACAGTATGGAAACTTGATCCTATCCATATATGCTTCAGGTTTTACACTGCTTGTAACTGACTGATTGAATAATAATAATTATAATAATAGTAATAATAATAATTATTATTATTATTGCTATTTTTATTATTATTATTACTGTTATTACTATTCTTATAGAAGTACTTAGTAGTAAACTAATGTGTAGAGAACCGGCCGTTGGTGATAAATATGCTTAAAACTTCTCACAACTCATTCATTAATTTTTTCCTTTGTTCATTTGTCAATATGATGATTGCTGTACAACATTTTCAACGTGTTATATTAGTCTGAATGACACCAATCACTTTTACTTTACTTTTAATCTATTGATCATATTTTTACTATCACACTGCTTTTTTCACCTCGTACCAATCTTCCTCAATAAAGTTATCAATCGATGTACTTTAATTATTGGATCTGAAGAAATAAAATGATAACACAACAAACGAATAAGTGTCCTATTTCTAGGTTGATTTCTGTCTAGTTGGCAAGTGAACTAGAAACACTTTCAAAAAATAACTATATTCATCTTACCGTGTAGTTGTGTTGATTGTCATTATTTGTTTTCTTCATACTGTTCTTTTTCTCTCTTAAAGGTTTTACTTTGATATCACTTACTTGTTATATGATGTATTTATTAAACAATACACTACATGATTTATCCATAGTATACGAATCTAACTCAGTGGTCGTCGTCGTAGTAGTAGTAGTCCACTGTAGTACTTGGTTTTTCACCTATGTACGCATAAATATTTATTGTGGATTCTTGTTTCCGTTTAATGAGTTTATTTTGAAAGAAATTCCTGTCTACAATTATGTCATTATAATATCAATAATAATAACGACAATAATATTGGCGGTTCAGCAATAAAGTTTCTTTTTAAGCACTCCTATTTGCTAAAGCTGTACAATTTTATTTATACAATCATTTTACACATTATGATTTGTAATAAAATAGAAAATTGTTTTCGATTAATCCCTGGTTCACTTTTTAATGACACAACAAAGTTCCATGGTGACCTAGTTTCAATTGACTCATAAAATTAACTATTAAATTACCATAATATCCACAAACCCTCTCTCTGAATAAAATCATACGTTTACTAGTGACTGTCTCCAAGAGGTATTTCCTAGAGTTCTAGTGAGAAGCAGTGACCAGCGGAGTTCAACCGGGTTTGTTGTGAGATAGTAACTCACTGAAGACAATGTTAGATGTGTCGTTCAATTTTGTGGATTAGTTGAAGTTAGACATTAATAGCGTTGGATGCCGGTTCAGTGGTCTAGAGGTTAAGCGCTCATGCACGAGACCGATAGGTCATGGGTTGAAATCCTGCGAGACGGGATCGTGGATGCGCGCTGCTGAGAAGTTTCATACTAGGACAGAACGGTCGACCAATGCTTCCAGGTTTTCCATGGTGGTCTAGATCCAATTGACTCATGAATTCAGCTATTAAATTTATTTTTATCAACTAACTACATAAATATGATTGTACAATTTTATTTAATGAAATATTTGAAAGGTGATTTTCTTGACTAAACCTTATTTATTTTGCCTAATGATGTCACGGGTTGCTTTCCTAATTCTTTAATTATGATAACAATCACGTAATCGTCAGTCTACTTCTAACGAATTAAGTTGAGTTGTAACTTCGTCAAATACTTTTAATTTTATATTGTAATAGCTGTTAATAATACAGTAGGCAATGTGTTTAAACCCTCTACATCAATTCATGTCCGGTTATATTAATAGGATGAAATGATTACTCAACTCATTTGTTTTACTACTTCTATGTGTATTTTGTATGTATATGTCTTTAAGTTTTGCTCATTTGTTTTTCATTTAGGTCGCTCTATCGTATAGTAATGGGTCTCTCCTCTCTCAATATATATATGCTAGTCACTCTAGAGTTCGACTTTTCTCACAAACTTATATTGTCATACGTCAAAAAAAGAGACGAGTGAACTATTTTGTTTATTATCTTTAGTATATTTTATAAATTAATAATGTACCTTGTTTGTTTATGTATCTATCCGTGAATTAAAATAAGATCAGCGATGTGTTTATAGATTTTTCTTACATTGAAATCACTTAGCAATTGTTTACTTGGAAATTGTCTTTATATTCTCTTGACTATCTTGAATGTTCATCATTTTAATAGAATGTTGTAGTAGGGTATTAGCTAAAGTAAAAGGCTTATATGTTTAGTGAAACGTAAATCTCCTACTTTGACGTATTGATCTTATATTATGTCAGTTTTCTGTGTTGTTCAACGTGTAAACTTTCGTCAGTTTTTATTAAATGTTAATGTTTCAACTAAAATCAGTGACTGGCTTGATTAAACATAGACTTGGACGTGTTGCAACCAACTTTTTTTTCATGTACGTACCTACTTGTCCCATGAAAGAAAAATTTCCATACATTTCAAAGAACATTGACATAGTGATGGCAATTAATTCCTTCATCTTAGTCATTCACTTAAATTGCGTACTCTGTCTTTAGCCACATGTCCAAAATCGGATATCTTGGTCTATTAGTTGAATTTATTTTTGTTCCCTTAAGACTACTGGAATTGATTATCACATGAACAGAAATATTTATTGTTATCTTGTTGCGATATATTAGGAACATACGCTTAAGTTAGAGTTTCAAGTTTATTATCTACTCTTATATCAACTTGGTGTTTGTTTGTGACCACAAAATCTGGTAGTAAGTCTAATCAAATCGTTTATTATTTGAGGGATGATCGCTTAATATTTGGTTACCGATACTGAAACCTAGTTCTGATCTGCGACTTTATTATTGAGTGTACAAACGTGTACATTTTCTAGTTTTAAAGACTCTCATTTCTAACTTATTTAAAAATAATTTGAGAAGAAAATACTTAACTAGTATAAAAAGAGTAGGAAGTCACCTTGACCAGTTGGATTGTATATTGTCTCGTGAGCCTTGATAGTTAATACTCCAATATAGCATAATTCGTACAAACTGTTATGGTAGAATCACAAATAAACGGTTTAGCTTTTATCGTCTCACTGATAAATGATCTACTGACTATTAAGTTTATGTTGACACCAGCTTCAATGAAAATATCGAAATAAGGATACTTTCCTACTCTTAATTTTATACATGATTTCCAATTCTTAATACAACAAGTAAATCAATGTTGTTAATAGTCTATTGTTTTTACACATGATTAAACTAGTTTGAATAATTATGATTCTATATTGTACTATATTCTACTCACAATTTGAGGTACAGTTAAGGTCTATATCTGTGAGCTAATAATATAAATCAACTTAAAACAGTGTAGTGATGCGGAAAAATCTTTATGTGTATATCATCGCACTTTTTAAATACTCACTGATAACAACTAGTCTTGTATTTGGACGACTCTGTTTATGAATATTCTAACGTCGAAATCTGAAATTAAATTCGAATTTATAAACCAATAGTAAATGTCTACTCTTGAGGCCAAAATCATAAATAGATCCGTTCTTAATCTATAGCTTGAAAATTGATTCTCTCCAGTTAAGTTTTGACTTAGTTGTTACTCTCCCTCTTCTTGTAATTAGAAACTTTCCAGCTTCCAAATACTAAATGACATCTTTTATTTCCTCAATAATAATAATTTTATATGTTATACTTCTTTCTCGTTTAGATTCTATGACTTCACCGATTGTTGGATCTGCTCCAGTACGTAGTAATCCACTAAGCAGTTTTCCGAGAATAAATTCGCCTGTTTCTAGCACGAATTTCTCCACCCGACCTACTGGGGGTGGTGGGACTGTCATAGACTCACCTTTAAGATTAATACGTGCAAGGTGTACATCGTTGACAGTGTCTACAACAGAGGTTAATAGTTCATCTAGTGATGTAAATATGCCTTGTGTACGACTTCATGCCCCTGAATATCAACAACAGCAGACCAATAAAATGAGAAATCAACGTATTTTTCAACCAAATCAATCTCCTCAACCACGTATTTTCCAACCCGGTAGTCAGTCACAGTTATGTTGTTCACAGTTCCAATCTAAACCTATATCACAATCTCAGCATCCTTCATCTTCGTTATCTCCTCAGCATCATTTAACTGTTCAGCATCGATTACAGCTATCTAGTCGTTCAGGAATAACTTTTGGATCGATTCCAAATCAGCAATACATTAATTCACACAATATTAGTGCAAGTTTACCGGTGAATGTTAATCCGTTACTTTGTGGTATACAAGATTCTGATAATAATGATTTGAACGATGATAAGGTAAACTGAATCCACGACTTTATTGTTTATTATTACCATATGTTTTGTTTGCTTTTGTTGTTTCCAAACACTCGCAGAATTAACGGGGGAAAAAGACCCTGTTGATCTTGACTCTAGTCCGACTTTGTGAAGAGACATGATGGATGTAGTATAGGTGGGAGCTGGGTCCTTTGAAGCTTAGCGCAAATGAAATACCACTGCTATCATTTTTTTTCTTTACTTATTCAGTGGAACGGGAACGAAATTATGTTTTGGTTCTCATCACATTTCAGGGTGCGTGGTCTATCGCTGAGTACTTCGGTATCTTGGTAATGTCATGACGAGTTGTGTTGCAAATCACAATCATCAAACGTAAAAAGAAAATACATAGATACATTTACACTCATGTCCGTTTATAATGATCTTGAATTATGTAGATAAAGGAATTTCAGATTCGTATCACACTTATCTACTTCGGCTTAAGCAACATAGATATCATACGTGGAGTATGAATCGAATCTCAGTACATCAAAACCGTACCTTGTAAATTAGTCTTGCTAACTTTAAACATTAATGCTATATTATTTCAAACAAGGATGATATCCTATCCCGGATAACTTCACACAATCTCCTTGTGGTAGTCTGCATTGTCTTGTAGTACATGAAGTGAACTTTCTAACTAATTGCTAATTGAAATATTTTATGAGACAACATTATTTTTATGTTTAAATGACATTGTATAATTTATACAAAATATATTTCACTGTATGACAAATTTAAACTTGCGAGTAAACACTAACTTTACAATGACTGAAGTCAACCTTTGTGAGTATTTACGTCGTAAATTTATACGTTTGTTTTTCTCCCGTGGAATTGTTTATTACGGGAAAATACCAAATGTAGGATTTTTAATAACGGAATCGATTCTAACAATTTTCACAATTCTCCTTCCCTTATGGAAGCATTCCACAGAATAATAATGTTGAGATTCTTCGTTGGTGTATTTTAACACTTCACTATTAGCTTATCAATCAAAATTTGACTTATAATTATGTGTATTGGTTTAAGGAATATACAAATTTTCTCAAATGGTTCCATAAGCGAAGCATCTACTTGAAATATCACGACCATTTGAGTCAGGCACAGTGTCCAGGAATCCATGAAACTCATCTATCAAATTCATCTTCCTTAATATGTTTCATTTCAAAATACAATATACTCTCAAGTTATCAGTATTTGACCATAAACGCTTTGAAAGCATAGCTGGTGTATGTTGGTATCGTTGAGTCAGCAATGCTGAGGTTAGATACAGTGAATCTCCATCAACTGTAGTAGATGGGTTATGTATTACGTATCTCTAACCACCACCTACATTGACACGTATTGTTGCCTGATGTAGGGTTAGGTAAGTGTAATATTCCTATATGATCATCAGTATACATCGGTTGTCACTGATATAATCTGGTTCATTCGAAAACTTATGGTATTTCATAAGAATCTTACTGTAGAGTTTCTTTGGAACCGAAACACATTGCATACTTCCAGTCATTTCGCTACAGATTCGAACAAGGCTCCACCTAAGTCTGTTTGGGCAATCCGGTAATCTCACCATGTGGTGTATACTGCTTATATCAACAGTATAGTATTGCTTTAAATAGTATGTAAAACCAATCGGAAGTCAGAAACTTGACAACAAAAGGTTAAGAAGATCTAGTTTAAGAGAATAGGAGGGAAAATAGAAAAGAATTGTAAACTGGAAGAATCATACATAATGTGAAGGAAAAATCATCGAAATTTACAAATGAAGTATTCAGTGTATGGTTCTCATATTTTGCCAAGAGTTTCTGTAGTTTTGATTATCCTTACTTGAGTTCTCTATCATTACAACCAAGTCTCACACTCGAGTACTTAAATCAATACTTTCAAAATGAGTTATATTAAGAATTAATTTCAAGTAGTCAACTAATGAATAAATATACCTACTCAAAAACCAAACTAAATCCCCATAGAATAGTATTTTTTTTAAAAAAAATCAATATAATTGTCTGAAAATGTCTGTCTGAAGCCTACACTTGGTTCAAATAAATCTATGATAATAACAAACTTAAAATATGTTTGATTACTTTGATAAATACATTTCTTTTTTAAACATAGTTGCCTAGTTTATATTTAAACAACAACAAAAAAAAATGTATGAATTAAGCTCAGATCATTTATTAACAAATACATAATACAGTTCACATACACAGAATCTAAGTTGTAATCTGATCATCATCATCTCAACCTGATCCCATCAGATCTTAATCGTAAAGTGAATTCAATTCATCAAACTATCTGAATATTATTATGATTATTTTTAACTGTTTTTATATGTATATTTATTTGCGTCAATCATAAGCCAAATAGTAAGTTGAATTCATGTGAATAATGATATTTGTTTTCTACATTGAGAGGCTTATCATCGTAGTTTATGTGAACTGATTAATTAATAAACGGAATACACCCATTATGACATTAAATAAGAAAGAAAGATTAGTTCAACGAAGAGTTCTCTTTTCGTTGAATTCATTTTCAAAGCTGTACAATCGTAAATATAGATACTTATTTTTACAGAGTGATAATAATACTGATAATAAACTTCTGTTATACATGGTGACAGTGAGGTTAAATAAACAAAGGTAAAAAAAATTTTTTAAACAAGAAAAGTTGAATAATCGTTTGATGGCTGAAGTATTCATTATTGGGTAAGAATGGCTCAGTGTGATAAAATAAAATGTTGAAACAGAGATGAAATGTGATCGGAATGATCGTGGAAATAAAATATATGTTACCACAGTTATCGACAAACGCACAAAAAACTTAATATCAGACCTCACTAAAAGTTTAAAAACCACAAAAACACAGCACAACTTTCCTAACAATCCTGAGAGATATGTGTTTAATCATTCTTCAATATCCCTGACAAATGTACAATTAGAAGCCTTATCTTTGGGGATAAAATTCTGCGACATAAATGAAAGAGTTAACAAAATCACACATGTTCAATTCGAAAACTTAATCAAACAAACAAATGGTTTTAATCCAATCTCTGATCAAGAATTCCAACGTTTCAAATCTACTCTTCTTGATAGCTGCAACCATTATATTAGCACAAAAGTAACAGGCAAAAGTCTACTTACAAAAGAACATAGAAACCAGATAAAACTACTTAGAAATAATAAAGACTTGATTATAACACGTCCAGATAAAGGTGCTGGTTTAGCGCTGCTAGATCGCAAGAGTTATGTTGAAAAAATGACAACTTTATTATCAGATGACACCAAATTCTCAAAACCCATCAAGGAAAAAAACAAGACTGAAATTATAGAAAAGCAACTAATTGATGTCCTTAAGAGAATGAAAAATGAGCAGTTAATCAACGAACAGGTCTTTGAGCACATAAAACCGACAGCATCAATAATACCGCGATTATATGGTCTGCCAAAAATACACAAAGCTGGCCTACCTCTTAGACCGATTCTCGATATGTCAGGATCCGTTTACCACCCTGTAGCAAAGTGGTTGGCGAATCTCTTAGAATCCGTTAGAAAACTCATTTGTAAACATTCCGTACGTGATACTTTTGAATTTATCGAGCACATAAAAGAAGTGAATGTAGGTGACAAAATTATGCTATCTCTGGATGTAGAATCATTATTCACTAATGTTCCACTCTCTGAGACCATTAATTTGATCTGTAAGTACATAAACAACAATGAGATAAACATTGGAATACCTGAGGTTTATTTGAAGGAGCTATTACTACGTTGCAATTGCAATGTACAGTTCACATTCAACGATGTAATCCATAGACAAAAGGATGGTATAGCAATGGGATCCCTACTTGGTCCATTACTGGCAGATTGTTTCATGGCCAGTTTAGAAAACAACCAACTCAAAAGAATTATAGAAAACAACTATATTTTCTCCATGAGTGTCTTCGCCAGCATGTTCTACCAACAAGTGTAAGATATAGACCTCCAATCAACTGCCCATTAGGATGGAGAATAGCTGAGCAAAGTGGAAGAAAAATGGTACACCTAATGATAACGGATGCACACTACAGGATCCGCAAATACCAACACACGACCAAACCATCCAGCTCAGAGGACAAAACTCTACCAAAATTATAGAAAACCTCCACTTTTATAAAAGGTATATGGATGAGATCTTTATCATTTGTGACAACAAATGTAACTTAAGTGATCTCCTAGAGACACTTAATAATTGTCACCCATTAATAAAATTCAAACTTGAAATTGAAAGCAAACAAAATATTCACTTCCTTGATGTACATATGACAAGAAAACAAGATGGTACTTTGACAAGATCTATCTACAGGAAACCCATGTGGAATGGCCAACTATCACATTTCCACAGTTGGGTTCCCATCAGCCGAAAAAGAAACTTAATAATAACTCTCGCCACAAGAATACGAAGAATCTGTAGCTCTGAGGTCGTAGAGGAAGAATTGAGCCTTTTAAAAGAGATACTTATCAAAAACGGATATCCTTCTATATTCATTGATAAGAATATGAAGCCAAAAATGCCAAAACCACAAACAATTACAGTAGAAAAGAAAACTTTGTACATGAACATCGAATTCAAAGGTGATAGAGCCGCATATATCTTAAAGAGGAGAATTTCGGATTCTTTAAAAGGAACATTCTTCGCAGCAACATTGCGAATATTATTCTCCAGCCGATCACTGTTCACCAATAATCTGAAAGATAAATTATCGCATCTGACCAACTCAATGTGCATTTACCAATTTACCTGCTCTTGTGAAGCTTGGTATATAGGCCGTTCGATGCGTACTTTATCCAAAAGAATTCAAGAACATTGTCCGGCGTGCCTAAAAAGAGGAGGCAACGGCTCAATAAGAAGTTCTATAATCGAACACCTTGTGAACACAGGTCACTCAATCAAGACAGACTCTGCGTTCAGAGTCATCTACAAGGTAAGTAGAAGCCTTCCTAAGACAGTTAGACTGCATCTTCTTTATATTACCGAGGCAATAGCCATACATTTTGAAAAACCAGAATTATGTGTACAAAAGAGACTGGTACAACCTCTTCTTCTACCATGGTCTTAATGTATTAAAAAAATTTTTTTCTATTTCTTCATACTCTTGTTCCCTTACAGCCACCTGCTTCACCTTCCATCTTCCCTTCAAATCTTCTACCCCCAACCGGTTTGTTTTTATTTCCGCGATCATTCCGATCACATTTCATCTCTGTTTCAACATTTTATTTTATCACACTGAGCCATTCTTACCCAATAATGAATACTTCAGCCATTAACTATCAAACGATTATTCAACTTTCCTTGTTCAAAATTTTTTTTACCTTTATTTAACCTTACTGTCACCATGTATAACCGAAGTTTATTATCAGTATATATATATTTGCGATTGTACAACTTTGAAAATGAATTCGACGAAAAGAGAACTGTTCGTTGAACTAATCTTTCTTAACTGATTAATTGTAGCAGAAAATGCTTATGTTGTGTTCCGCATCATATTTTCATTTATTCGTTCGTAAGTTGTGTAGATTGCGACAAAATTATGTATCGACTCAAAATAAAATACAGATGAATTTCCAAATGTAGGTTGGTACACAACTTCCAATCACACTTTTTGTGTGCGAAGGTTAGTAACACTATATACAATCCTAACTAAATATTGGTGAGGTGGGATCCGATCTATTAATGCGACAACTTCAAACAGTTTTTTTAGACACTAAATTGCCGCTTCATAATAAAATACAAATATAAAATAAAGAAAAGGAAGGCGTTGTATGATAACAAATTCAAGAGTATTTCGCCACTAAAACGGATCTTTTGCCATATCACCACCAACAACTTCCATTTATGTTACAGACATTAACCAATTTGTCCACAGCTACCGAAAGGTCTCGAATTATCAATTGACGATTTTATAGAATAATACCATTTCTCAATGTGGGCACCACTAGTCAATAAAACGAGTGACACATTGCGCTAGTTGACGAGTGAACGTGCGTAACATTTAAAAATGGCAGTAAAATCGCAATAATTATAACAGTCTAATATGTACTCATTTTATTTCAGCTATATGCAATTCAAAATAAATGCAAAATATCTATTTACCTCATTGGACTGTAGCAAAACATATTGACTTCAACATGAAGCAATCAAAGACGAAAGTTTTATTTATAGTGGAAAGATTCGGTTAAACTAGAAGACATCTGACCCACAAATCTGAGTATAAGCGCATCTCACTTAATTCACAACATTTTCTCGCTTTTCTAATGAACAGCAAATTCTTTTACAGTGAGAAAAATTACCTATTAATCAATACATCAAAACTTTGATGGTCATAATTAGCTACTATTGAAAGCGAGGAATAGATAAGTGTTGTTGGCTTTTTTATAATTGGAGTTGTTTGTTTGGAAGTACCACCCTTGACATAAAAATCAACCATTATAATACTTTCTAATAATACCAGTTGAGCAAACGAGTATGCAACATTCATGTTGTATGTGGTGAAGTCACATTTCCCAAGGTTGTTGATTAGAAGTAGTAGTAGTGTGGTGGACACTTCTCACAAGATTGTTTGTAAGTAGTATGTAGCGGAACGTGGCTTCGAATTTTTGCAACAATTGTCGGGTAAAGTGAAAAAGTTTCGGTGCATCGAAAGCACTGAGTTGGCAGGACTTTTTGAGGCCAGTTGAAAGGAGATATCAGACTGCAGATCATACCGAAAGATGCAAATAGACGATTGAAGGTCATGTATAATGTGTTATATGAACACTTCGTAACTTCTCACAGTAAATACATTCTCCCAGCCCATTGTCGTGTCTTATACCACTATCACTATTATTGTTTAATTCATTTTTACTATAATTTGTTTTTTTTATATGCTTTCATTTTGTTTGTGGAAATCATTCATGCTCGGTGGGTATTTCACTTCCCTTGAACCTAATTATTAATCAATTTTTGAAAACTAAAAAACTTCTATCTGTTAAATAAAATTCACTGTGTTTCACATCAATTATTATCGTTTGTCAGATTATATATATATATACCTTTATTGGTTCAGTAGCATGGTTCTTAATGTAGTCTAACGCCTAGTTTTGACGTCACAACTTGTTCATAATTCAAAGTATAGGACAAAAGTATTTCTTCGTCGCCGTTGTAGTAATAAGTGAATTTATGGTCTCTTTCGATGTTTGTGTGTCTATTTATGAATGTCAAATTTAGCTTTGTTGCTAAAATACCAGTAAAATGCATTGTGCGTAAATATATTGTTGAATTGGTCTAAATATTTCAACTCTGATATTTAAGCGTGTATGATTCTAAGTTTCTTCTTTTACACTCACCAGAACATCTTGATTGCTCGTATTTTCCGTGGTTTTGTATTATTACAGTTCCTTTTTATCTATATTAAAATCATCGAGTTTTTTGAATTCATATCAAATGAAAAAACGAACTGTCTTACAGCGAAATCACATCAGTACAATATGGGTTTAGACTGTTTACAACATTTTCAACACATTCACTGAGTGTACCTCACTCAAAACTTTTAATCATCTTTTCATTCATTCAGTGTGCGAACAGTATGTAATACGGTATGCTTTTCATTCAAGATTTCATTCCAAGTCCCAACTTCTACCATAGTTGTTTTTCGTCGGTGATATTCAGCTTGAGCGTAACGCTGACATGTTCATGAGAGACAGTTGTGGCTTGGTCCAAACGCTTGAAATGAAATTTTTGATGAAAATCATACCTTATTATGCAGTACTCACTCATTAATTCAAGTGGTTAGGTACGACATAGTACTGAACATTAAAAATATTGCTGTTAACCTCAGCCTTTAAATTGTCTCATAATTTTCAATATATATATATATATATATATATATATATATATATATATAAAATTGTTATTATTAATGGCTTTATTCAATATTATATTTTGGTACAATATAGAATTCTCAGCACAGGGTATTTCAACAAGTTACTTACGCAAAAAACAGTAACAAAGACGAAAAAGGTAAAAAAAAAACCCGAAAAACTGTACAACTTTTCAAATTAAGGACATGTTAAGAATACAGGTTATTGACTAGGTTAACTCTAACAACCTGTTCGTCACAGAGTATATTTACTAGGTAAGGTATTATAGAACTTTTATACTTTTGCTTGCGTGCATGGATTTTAATGTAATTATGTCTCGTTCTACCAGAAGATATACAAGGAGAAAGATAAGAGTGAAGGGGATTGTTAGTATCTGATAAAATAACACCTGCCAGGAGTTTGCATGACTTTAGATGTCTATCCACAACCATATTAATTATGATCTCGAAAAATTCACCACACACCTTACTAACTGCCTTCAGCATTCTCCAAAGTACAGCAAAGTCTTTTCTCAAAGGCCCGGCAAAGAATAATGGAGAACAGTAAAAAATAATAGGTAATACGCAAGAATTGACAAATTGTAAGAGTAAATGACGAGTAATCCCAAGAGCATGCAATCTCTTTATGTAGTAGGTCAGACGAAAACCTTCTTTGATAACAATAAAACGTGGGAAGACCAAGAGAGATCAGAGGAAAGGGTAATGTCAAGGTAATTGACCTTCGACACTGTGTTTATCAAAGAGTCTCCAATGGTACAAGCATTATGGGAACTCAAAATGGTGTTTAGATTCTGTTCATATCTCATGCTAAAGTTAACAGCTTGGCATTTAGACGGATTAAGTATTAGACCATTACCAACAGACCAACAATCAATACGAGATAAAAACTCATTCATTTCTATGGGATGTGAAGAGGAAGAGATAGTCATACATACAGTGAGATCATCTGCATATATCACAAAATTGTTTTCTGTGGAAGATGGCAGATCATGCAGAAGAAAAGAGAAAAGAAGAGGTGAAAGAACAGCTCCTTGTGGTACACCTTCATGAGAAAATAGAAACTCTGAACACTTTCCTCCAAATACAGTGTACTGTTCCCTTCCAGAGAGGTAGGAACATAGCCAGCTGGTTATCCAGTTGTCAGTGTTGACGCTGATTAACTTGTTAATTAAACATTGTCTTGGTATAGAATCAAAAGCTGAAGTATAGTCCAGAAAAGCACATCGAACATACTTCTGACCCTTTTCTAAGTTGAACACTATGTTGTGATGCAGAACAGCAACAGCATCTAAGGTGCTTCTTTTGCATCTGTAAGCAAACTGATACGGATCAATATGCTCTTTTATCGCAGGCTGAAGTGGAAGTATTAATAATTTTTCCATTCTTTTGAGGAAGGGTGAAGTTATTGCAATAGGTCTAAATTTTACATTCTTATTACCAGATGCTTTCTTGGGTACAGGAATTATCTTCATCTTTCTCCACATTTTCGGTATGAGATTAGATGAGAAGGATCTGTTAAAGATAGTCGTGAATGGATAACATAGAACGTCAGCACATTTTTTAAAAAGGAGGTTTGGGATACCATCAGGTCCCAAACATTGGGATGAATTAAGTGACTGGAGACATCTTCGAACATCAGTTTCAGTGAAACTAGGAACACAGCTATTCTTCAAACCTGTGGATAAAGGGAGCATCACATCAGATGACTGACGTACAAAAGACTTATTTCTTTTATTATTTATTTACTTGAACACATAATTATTGGTACAAGAGAGCGCCAATATATATGCGCCACACAAAACAATGAGAATTCGAAGAGAAGTAGAAAGAGAAAAAAAACTAAGGAACGCAAAAGAAAAAGAGAACAATAACGAAGAGATTGGAGTAAGGTAGTGTGGTAGTAACGAGGGAACGAGAAGGTACAATTAGAAGAAATCTTTCAGGTAAAGGAGACACAACCACTTTTTTTGAAGAAAGTAAAAGAATGTTACAGCAGGATCGCCACTGGCTTCTATTCTGAGCCATATCTGATAACGTCTCTAGCCACTGTGTAGCACCATCTCTCGTACCCCAGTCAGGGAGTCGTGAAGGACAGACACAAGCCAGTCCTTTGCAGCTTTCTTTCATAGCACGACACCATGTCATACACTGACCACCTCTCCGCTTCTCCCAACCAGTCCCAGAGTCGGCAAATAATGCACGACGTGGAATTCTCTGGGACGACATTCGGAGAACATGTCCAAGCCAACGAAGTCGGTGTTTCAAGATGGTGACATCGATTGCATTATCATCTCTGTGCCCGAACACACGATGCCGAACCTCTGCATTACTGACATGGTGTTGCCACTGAATGTCAGCAATCCTTCGGAGACAGCGATGATCGAACACAGAGAGTCGTCTAACGTCCTCAACTCGGAGAGACCAGGTTTCACAAGCATAGAGCAAAACTGCTCTCACCGACGCGTTGTAGATCCGCCCTTTTACAGCCAGACTAACATCACGAAGGCGCCAAAGATGGCCCAGATTGGCATAATCCGCTCTGGCTTTCACTATACGTGCATTGATCTCATCACTCACACCCCCACCAGCACTTATGCAGCTACCCAGATACACGAACTTCTCGACTACTTCTATCTGCTCACCATCCAGGGTGAGTACAGGATTGGAATCCTGCCAGTCTTGTAGAATTACTTTGCACTTCGAAGGTGCAAAGCACATGCCATATTTTACGGACACTGATTGCCAACTGATTAAGTGCGGATTGCATGGCTTGGGCATTATTGCACAGTAAGACAATATCGTCCGCATACTCAAGGTCGAGAAGTCTTTCTCCAGGCAACAGATCCACACCACCATTGCTTACATTCATCAGAGCAGTTTCCAGAATGTCGTCGATGGCAAAGTTGAAGAGGAATGGTGAGATTGGGCAACCGTGCCTAACCCCATCCTCGCAGATTGTTTCACTCACACCAGACTTCTTGCTGTCAGTGGCTCGGATGAGCTGGAAGAGCTTCCGGTAGTTACCAGATGCAGCTGCTGCTTCCAGCTCATTAGCACGCTCGGACCACCAGGCTTCTCGGTCCTTACGCAAGCTTTGCCCAATTTCAGTACGTAACATCCTTCGTTTATGGTCAAACTCACGGTCACCCAGAGTAGACCGACCGGCCTCGATTAGTTGTAAGGAACCTGAAGAAACCCAGTGCTTAAAAGCGGGACATTTCGCAAACCCACAACTGACTGTTCCCGCCATTTTCATGGCGTCATGCAATTGCAACCAATGCTCATCTATACTTTTCGTTGGAGTGGTAGCTAGCCTAGAGGCTAGCTCGGTTCGATACTTACTCGCAACAGAAGTTGCAACCAGCTTGCTAATATCAATCCGTTGGTGGCGGTCACTTCGTTGTCCACTGAAAAGCAAGGCGAGATTGGCGCAGACCAAGGGATGGTCAGAGTCCAGATAGGTACTCCAAAAGGAGCGGCAGTCTTGTACACAACCACGCCAGCGGTAGCTGATCGCGATGTGATCAATCTGAGTCCAGGCTTGAGATGCAGAGGGAGGACGCCAGGTGGCACATCGGCGATGACTGTGCGGAAAGTTAGTGCTAGCCAGAAACAGGTTGTGGTCTGTGCACAGTTGCAGTAGACGGTCCCCGTTATCTGACCTGCGACCAACGAGTCCCCATCGGCCACCTAAACGACTCTCTTCTGTGCCTAGACGCCCGACCTGAGCATTCAAGTCTCCGGCTAGTACTACAATATCGGTCGAACGCACTTTCTGGAGAAGAACAGATAACTGGTGGTAAAACTCATCCTTGATTGCATCCGGGCTGCAATCTGTCGGGGCATAGGCGGAGATGACGAAAAAACATCGTTTCTCATGCCGATTTCTTCTCACTTTGATGGAACTTTCTAATCTAACAGCACATAACCGACTGTTAATGGGGATCCAATCGACTAGTGCTGCCTCAGCTCTAGCGCTTAGTGCGACACCAACGCCAGCAAGACCAGACGAAAATGCCACAGGGTCCCCGGATAAGCGCACGTAAAACAAGCTTTTCGAAGCGACAGATGGAGATCGAATTAGTAGTACTTCACCAGAGTCTTGAATACGGTTCTCGGATAGACAACAAACATCAATATTAAGACTTTCCAAAGACATAGCCAGCCCTATCTGTTGTCCGACCTGCATAAGTGTGCGAACGTTGAAAGCAGCCAGTTTGAATGGTGCACGTGGTTTCAGAAAAACTGCTTCAGTTCTCGTATTCGGTGGTAACATACAATTTTCAACCGGCCAGTGACTCGAGTACGTTTAGGTAGAGTCGAATTTCCACCAAAGACAAGCCGCTGTATAAGTATAAAAGAGGGTGAATAATGTGGAAAATAATAATAATAATAATAATAATGAGAATAATGGTAATAATAATAATAGTATTAATAATGACAATAATAGTAATGATAATTATTTGAATCGACTGATTGTTTTTCGAAGCGATGAAAGTGATTTTCATAGATATAGAGAGTTCATCATTTGTGTGTGAGCTGTGATACTGCCCGGGTGCCCAAACCGAAGCAGGTGGTTATCTTAGGGGGCTACACCCCGAGCCTTTGACCTAAAGGTCTAACCCACAAGGCAGTGGAGCATCGTAAGGAGATGCAGTCCCATGGTTGCCGGTGACCAAAGATTGGTTCATACATCATTTGTTCCCACAGGATACTGGTGCCCATGTGCACCATTGATTTGTGATCTGGTTAAAGCGCCGGACGTACAAAAGACTTATTTAAGTCACAGTCACTCAGCTGGTTATCGCTCCTAATTTGTTTGTCACCCGTAAGTTCTTTAAAGAGTTTCCACATACTTGGAGAGTTTTTGAGTAAACATAGAGTTGAGACGTCTAATCTCCAGGTTTATCAGACCATTTAGCTTACGAACTTCATTAGAGTTTTTCTTCTTGTATATTCTTTCTTTTACCCTCCGTAGTCGTTTTAGTTGTGAAGATGTAAGTCGATCAAAATGGTTTTAGTGGGACAACAAATATCAAAGCAGAATTTAAGGTATTTAGTGATAACATCAGTAGTGATTTCCAGTGAGTAATCTGTAAATAATTCCCAGTTAGTCGTATGAAACATGTTTTTCAGATTTTGGATATTTTCTGAGTAATTCCTATATTTGACTTTCTTGGTTTGATGTAAGAGTGTACTTTTCCCATGCTTTCCATATACTTTAGGTAGAACACGAATTAAACAGTGATCTGAGCTAGACAATGGAGCACGTTTACGAGTTGCATATATACCCACATCATTAATGAAAACGAAGTCTAAATGAGCATCCAAACGAGTAGGAAAGTCTACTACGTTTTGGTGACCTAGTGACATAAGGAAGCTACAGTCACATGAATTGAAATCACCACATACAACTGAAAGTGAATCACTGAAGGCAGTAACAGCGAACTCAGTGAATTCATCAGCGAAAACAGATAGCGTAGATGATGTGCAGTCTAGAGTCACGCAGATATTGGTAACATAAACATATTTGTATTTATTCAGATGTTTAGGATGACATCTTAGAGTTAGACAGTCGATAAAGTCATTTGAAAACTTGAAACACACAAAAGTAGATCGACACCAGTTCACGCTTACAAAAGTAGCTACACCACCGCCACACCTCTTTTTATTGTTTGATCGATCCTGACTGATATTTTTTGTCTTGCTAATATTTCATCTCACCATATTTGCTGTGGTATGACAACCTTAAACTGAAACACATTTGTGGCATGCTCTATTTTAACTATTATCAGCTTATTTAATCAAACACCATAACGATTTTGTAAAAATGACAATGTAAATTTTATCATTTATGTTATTTGGAAAAAATTCGTTTTCAATGCTATTAATATTCGAAGCAACCCATGACAGTTAAGTGGTTAGTAGCCGTGGATTGTTTAAACATCACGTATTTGGGCGTAGTGGCTTAAAAAACAGTGTATTTGTTTATCAGTCGTTAGGTTTGTGTACTGTGGTTCCCAGTTAGCCTCTGTGAACATCCACACTGAAATACACGTACATCCAACAATTAATAACTTTTTCTATACATAAAACAACTTATTGAGAATGTGTAAAATACAAAAGGGGGAAAAATTAGAAAATAGTTTCAATATTTTGGGAAAAAACGTTCTTTATAGCTTTGCATCCAAAAGAAGTTTGTATAACCACTCTCGCTACCTTGGCTTTGGTATAGGAGTAAGTTTGTAGCTGGGCTCTAATGAAACCCTTCCCTTAAGAAGAAACTGAAATTACTTTCTAATTTCTCCCACTTTTGTCTCTTACCTATTCTCAAACCTTATCCTTTAATTCTTACATAACTACTATAACAACTATATTATAACCATATTGCGTAATTCCGTTGTTTTTTACATTTTTATTCTGTATAGATTGCACAATTATACTCATTTGATTCATCAAATAGTTCATTTATTCCTCACTTGAAATCTGAACCAATATGTGAAACAGATTCAAATTACAATTCAATACATTCATTAAGTTTAGATTTATGTCATGGTAACATAAGTAATACAATTTTAGAACCGGTTACACATTTTGATCCATTAATCGCATCTGTTATGCAATCATCAAATCAACATTGTCAACAACACCATCGACACGAACAACAATTACATCAACGTTACCAAGACCATCAACAAAACCAACAACATCTATATCATCAACCACAACGTTCTTTACTGAATCACAGCGGGAAGTCATCTTCAAAAACATTAGATTTATTTACACCACCAATAATTGGCTTAGATATAGATGAATTTCAATTTGATGATGTCCCCATGGAATAAAAATGCTACAAATAATTAATAGCGTTAGTAACAAAGGTGCATAGATTTACCGATTCACTGTCTAACTATTCTTATTTTCTACTTTTAATGTATAAAAACTAATTATCATATAACCTTTTAGAAATATTTTAGTTTAGTATTTTCACTCTTCTATTCTTTTATGTTCTTATTTATCGTCAAATAAATTGAGTTGATCTTTTCTCTCTCGAAAAAGTGAATAAAGAAGCACCGTTTCATTTTTTTGTTTGTCATTAACTTCTCTGTTTGTATGTCTAATGACTACCATATTCGTTGTGCTTGTGGTTTTAAGGTATGCGCGTACCTGTTTGCATCTTTTCTCTGTGTCTGTCTGTATTTTCTTTCTACTTGTTTTTCTTCATATTTATGATTTTGGAAATACACACACACAGGTGACAGTATGTTTAGGAAAGGATATGGATCATGCATTAGTTTCATTTATCATTATTATTTACTTCAAGTGATATTTCATGGTAGGCACAATTTAGCGCCACATCTCATTTAAACAATGGGATTTGATGGCTGTTTTACTTCTATACAAAAATATAAAAAGACATTTGTTAGCATTTTCCCTCCTCACCTACACTCTGGTTGCTATTCACAGCAATTATTATTAATCTAGTCGTATATATACATATTATTCACATTGCTTATAAAAATATGTGCCTTTTTGTACGATTGACTATTAATTTATATTTACATTTTCATTTTGTCAAAATGGATGATGTTAACGTTGGAATATTTCCTGTATTTATCTTGTTCACATTTTGTAGAAAATCTCTTGCTTCTTCAGATTAGAAGTAGATTTCATTCAATTAGAAAATTACCCACAACAGTCCACATTGACATCATTATATTTTTTTTGTATCCTGATATTCCTTGAGCTGGATCTTTCTTGATAGGTTTTTTCCTTCCCTTAATTCTTTTTACGCTATCTGCACACTAACAATTTGTGTTGTTTCTTTATTGTTGTTATAGTCATGTTATATTTTATTTTCTTATCACTGGCTTTCTTTTCAATGAACAATAGGTTCTTATTAAACAGCGTAGATATTTTACGCGGTTGTCTGTTTGATATTCCAGTTTTGCACTGAGTAGTTCTTGTTTGTATGTGTTCCATCTATAACTACTGTTGTTGTCGTTTACTGAGATATACTCATGAGTTTATTTTGTCATGCTATTCCTTCCCAGGAATAATAAACCAGTAATGAAAAACAGACCGATATGTGTATCGTAAAAGTGCATAAAACTACTTCCTTCTTAAGATATCTATCATCCACTATGATTTTGTCGTCAAAGTAGTCTTTTTTCGTAAACAATTTCACTTGGCTACTTTTATAGTCACTTTTTAAACAGAAATTAATAAATCTCCAGTCTTTCTTTTTTTCCCATCAAAATTTCTATTTTTCCTTATTTTTGCTATTATACCAACTCGTGAGGAGACATGTCGTCTTTTCGGCGCCATTAATCTTTATTTTTATTTAAACAAAGTTGACTTACTACACTTTACTCTATTTCCGTGCATATTGATAATTCGCGAAAAAACCTAAAAAGAAGGATGCTTTTCACAAAAAGAGATTTGTTGTACAATGAAGATTTACTAGCGTTTACACAATTAATTATGGGCATTAACTTAGCGTTCCTTTTCTCTTTGTGTTTTCTATTTCCTTACATTGTTCTACTTTTCATCTGCATAAATAACTGACGATAAGAATAATGAATAGTCATCAGTTAAATTGTTGTTCACTTATCTATATCATCATCATATTATTATTTCTGCTTTTTTTCCGTCCTAGATTTTCAGAACATATAAAAGAATATATTACAATTTCATATATCGTTATTTATTTATGAAGATTTGATCAGGAATAAATGATTCATTTAATAATGGTGTCTTTGGTGATTATCTGTCACAGATTATATATACTGGGTTTCCTTAAATCTTTCTACTTTATTTTTACTTCATTGCTTGTTGACTCCATTGAGTTTTCCCTATTTCTTACATATATACATACATACACACTTGCACGTTGAAATAAATGCAATAAATTCACACATACATTGCCAATCAGCTAAATAATGAAATTTCTTCGATTCTCTTTCCCTCTCTCCCTAACGTCATTTTTCATTATGGCTGTATATCATAGTCTTATTATAATCTGTATAGTTTTGGATTCACATCACATCCATAAAGAATGTTTCACTGATTCTATTTGTGTACATCATCTACTTCTTTCCACTTATTCTGATTGTGTGCTTTTGTGCATAGCACACTACACAATCATAAATCGAATCCCAATCAGCTTTCCTCACTTTTCTATTTTGGTATTTGTTTTTCACCACCTCATTTCTACTCGTTTTTTCCAAAGATCTTTTTTCATTGCTTTAATTGAAATTCTTATTATTACTATCATTATTGTGTTTATTTATGTTTACGTCGACATTTTCTATTTCTTTGAACTTGAGATTTGCGTGTCTAGTTGTTATTTTTCATCGTCTTGGCATTTTCCCCTCCATTTGTTTTTGTGTGTCTCTGTCACTTACATTTTTTTTATTTTCATTTTTATTGCTTTTTATATTTTACGGAGAAAAAAATCAGCCATGAAATAAAGAAACTTTTGCGTGCGTTTCCCTCTTTACTTCATAGTAATATATTATATATAAAATGGGTTATTATCAGAGTTGATTGGTTTCATTTGGAAGCAGATCAATGTTAACTTATTGTGTTTTTTGAGGCTGTAACATGTCACAGCAATTTAGCATCTGGGAGGTTCAGTCATTGGAAGAGGTGACAATCAAATCTTCCGTTTAACAAATCTTACTGAATTTAAGTTGACTGTATCTCCGATATCGTAAAGTGTTATGTATGAAATCAAAATAAGCTTCAATCTTGTTTTCTATTAAAGCTTTGCATCTTCAATCCACGAACTTGCCAAACTTCTTTGTTCGACTTATTTCCAGAATAGTTCAATAATTTCGTTTTGGAAAGTTGTATTAACTCGTCACGATGGTCAACATTTTGGAACAGTTGGAACTCAAAGGGATCCCAATGGATGACATCTCTACATGATTGGTGGGGGTTCACAATCCTACTAGCTTATGATTCTACCGCAACAAAGGATTGTTCAGACAATAATAGTCTGTAATTTTATATCCACTCTCAAATCTCATTTCACTTGTCATCTTTGAGCTTTAAGGCAGAAAGCTTTTTGGTACTGTTGGTAGTTCCAGATTTACTTCAGTATGTATATGTAGTTGATAAAATCGACGAATATCCATTTTATGAATAGTTCCTTGTAGGTAACGTCTCTATAGAAGATAAGCTTTGTGAAAAAAATTATCTGATTAGATTTGTTCTATACTGTAGTGAGGGAAGGCTAAAAAATATCGATATATTGACTTAAAGAGATCAGTTTTTTGTCGTCTCACCTAATTCTATCGTTCCTAGGACATATGGAAAAGTGATGTTATTGTAAAACACTACGATGGCCTGGAGAAATGCATATTTATTGAGAGAAGCTACTAAGTATTTACGTAATATACATGGCGTTCAGTCATCTGTTTGCACCTTCCGGTGTGTTCTGCAATCTGAACTTTCTTTTGACTTGCCTCGAAGTAGTCTACCGATGCCGTGCTTTTGATGCACTGGAACTCTTCAGTGTGACCGACAATCGCTGCAACCTTGACGTCACGTTTGATTACACATCAATAAACATCCCTGTGAGTAGCGTACACTACACTACCATTTTCTTCCATCTAAAAATTGGTCGTTTGATGCTGACGCTGAAAATTATCTGGTCATTTTTCTGAAACTATGGACGTATCGTTCACGTTGTGACAATAAGCTGTGTAGCTCATTATCTAATTTAGTCAGAAAAAAAATAGTTAAAATTTGTATCTAGTAGTAATTACATGCAATTCCCAGTCTTGATGAAAATGATGGTTTATTCTCACCATACATTTTGGCGAAAGCTTTTTTGCAGAAAGTATGTGGACTCCTATATGATAGATTGTGCATTCATTTAAATGTGACTTTAACTTCGTTGATTTTCGCATTAACTCAGTGTGATTTATGTTTGTTTGTTCATTATAACATTAATTTGTAATGATTAATCTATCGTAATTTTTTATTCACTTGACTTTTGTTTAGTATAATACTTCATTGTGGTTTTGTGTTTAAATGACAATCGTTCAGTTTGGCAAGATTAACTGAATTTGATCGATATATAACTGAATGAAATTGAAAGATTAGTACTTCTAAGGTTTACATCAATGAATCTTATAAAATTTACGTTTTGGAATAGTCAGAGTTAAACGAGAAAACTGTTGTATATTGGTTTAATGAACTGTTTGCATTGTAGCTGGTACCAGAAATCATAGCAGGGTGAAATAAGGGTTTTTTCTTATTTACTTTCAAATTTTTTCTTATTCTGTCAAGAAACTCAAAATTATAAAGTACATTATGTTTAATGAAGGAGTTTTAAAAGTCCTATTAACTATTTTCTCAGTTGTATTTTAAGATCGATCCAATATGTCTAAGACTAAATGAATTGATAACTCACTTTTTTCTTGTAATTTTAATGATTGAATAATTATTGATTAAATCAACTTTACTTAAGCTTTGTTCCGGATCAGTTTTGAAGCTTAATCTTTTTATAGGAAAATATAATATCATAGCGAACATACAATATATTCATTTTATCTACTTCTGACAGTTAACATTAAAGGAAATTCTAATTGTATGACTGAAAACTAGCTCAAGATTTTTATGTGAAAAAGCTTTTCAAAAACAAAACAAAAATTGAGGAGATATTTTGTTCCTTTCCAAATTCGCCTTTTTATCATACCAGGTGGTTTTACTATTGTGTTATTTGATCTTTTGTCAGCTTAATTTTTGCCTAAGTGCACGCATTTCACTTTTCCCTAATTTGTAAGGATAAATGATTGTATGTTTATTAACTTTGTAGATAACTCATTACGCA